TATATTAATCTTACTTAAATAGTTATATAAAGTAATATACCTTTTTTATTATAGCTAAAATTATTAATATTTAAGATTTGGCTTTTTCTTTTCTCTATTTCTTAGGAGAATTTTCTCTAAAGCACTCCTTTATAGTAATAGTATTAATCTACTTCTATAAATACCTTAATTTTTTTATAGTTTTAGCCTTATTAGGGTTCTACTAAGTTTATTTAGTATATTTGAAATACTTTATACTTTCTAAGAAGTACTCTTTCTATCTATAAGTCTAATAAACTATATCTGAAGTAAAACTAGTACTTTATTAAGGCCTTAAAAAAGTTAAAGTATTATCTAAGGATTTCTTATATAATTTTCGGAACTTATTCTTTCTTTTTTAATAGCCTTATAAATCAGAATTTACTAAGTTAGAGTCTTTAGGAGCAGAATTGCTCTTACTAGACTCTTCTGCCTTTACTTTTCTTAATTTGGGATAAGTAGTATATTCTGCTTTCTAAGCTTTCTTAAGTTACTTAAAAACAGATATTACTTTATTTTCTAAGAAAATAAATATAAGTATCTAATAAGTCTTATAGTTAGATAAAGTAGTATTAAGAGTCCGGATCCGGTTTCTCTTAAAATATAGGTTCTAGTTAACTTTAAGACTAATTATCCGAATATATAACTCGGTAACTATCTTATTATTCTTTTAATAAAGATCTTAGAGCTTCTTAAAGGTATCTTATTAACGGGTTTGAAATACTTAAAGTATATTAGCCAAGTAGGCCTTAAATTACTTCTAATAAACCTTATATAATAGTGGACTTTACTTTATTATAGCCTCCTAAATATTATAAAGTTCGTCTCTAAAGGCACTTATAGTAAAGTTAACTCTAGAAGAATATCTGTTATAAGTTCAAGATTAGGTTCTAAAGACTACTTTCTAGAAAGATATAAATATTCTCTATTTCTTAAGGGACTTTCTATAATATAAATCAGGTATTCGGACCTTAAAAAGCTTCTCTCGGTCCAAATATATTTTTAGAATATTATATAGTAGCTTCTAACAAATAGTATTAAGATTACTCTTAAAGCTTATTATATTAAAAAAGGAAGTAAATTCTAACCCTATTTCAGGAAGTTCCCTAATAAAAATTACTAAGAAAGATAAGGTAAACTTATAAATAGAATTTCTATAAGATATAGTAAACTATAAGGTATTTCTGAGGGCACTCTTATATTACTTTAACTATAGAATATATTAGTTAATTGCATTTACTAATTCTTGCTTTTATTAGAGCGCTTTAATATTAGTATATAATCTCTATTTTATAGCTTGGGTAGTAGTAACTTAGGTATTAATCTCGGCGTCTTAATTATTACCGGAATTATTTCTATTATTATTACTAGCTCTCAGAGGCTTCTAAAGGACCCTATTAAAAGTATTAGACGAGCCTTTACTATTACCTATATCGGGATTAATCTAATTAACTTCCTCTATAGAAATAGCTCCGGCAAGAAATTATATATTTTACAGATTTCGAGATATAATTACTTATTAAACTACTTCCTTTAAGGATAGAGAGATTAGCTTATAAGGTATTTATTAGTAGGTAATAAAATAATAGAATAAATTAGTATATTATAAAACTATAGTATTAAATTCAATATAAAACTAATCTCAATTTCTTCTATAAAGTTCAGGAAAGCTCCCTTTAAATAGAAGGCCCTAATAATATATATATAATTAGTAATTTATAAGCCTAATACTTATAATATAAATAATAGTTAGTTATAATATTAAAGGGCCTTTAATTTCCCTAATTAATACCCGTAATATCCAAGATTTATTATATGCCCTTAAATTATATATAACCCTATATATATTATAATTAACTTATAATAAAAAGAGAAATATAATTGTTTTTAAGCTTCTATAACTTCTATTATAGATTTATTTAAGCTTATAAATATATCTCTTACTTCCTAAACCGTCTAACTAAAAAGAATACTTTATTAAAGTTTATACTTAATAAAATCTAGCTAAATATCTTTAATTAGTTTAAGAAATTACTTTTTTTTACTCTAATATTTCTTTATTTTAAATATAACTAGAAAACTTGCCTAGAAACTAATTATTTAAATCTAATTATTATAAATATACTTTCTCAAAAAAGCCTAGAGAACAAATAATAATATCCGGTTATATTTTATTTTAAAGCTCTTTAAAGAGCTAAAAGCTATTATAAAATCTATAATAAGAAACTTCTTATTATTATTTAAAAACTCCGGAAATAATAAGTAGAATTAATTAGCTTATCTAATTTTCTAATTATTATTAATTATAAAGCTCTCGAGTATTTTAGTACTAAGAGGCTTTTAAATAAATAATAAATCTAATAAATAGGTTTTCTATTATAGTTCTATTACTAGATTACTTATTAGCTAGATAAAAATAATATTATTACTAATATCTTATCCCGAAAAAATAAGCTTATACTAACCCAGAAATAGGCTAAAGAAGCTAAAAGAACTAGGCTAGTTATCTTACTAGATCTAATTCTCGCTTTTACTAAGGTAAAAGATACTATTTTTGCTTCTATTAAAATAGAAAGAATAAATAAGCTATTAGTTATAATTAAAGTTCTATAAACTAATTAGATAAATCTGGCCCTTAAGAATAAATAAAGGAAAGCCTAGAAAAATACGAATCTATAGGAAATATTAAATAGCTATTTACTTTATAATAAAAGACTTATTATATTAGACAAATATAATAATTTATAAATTAGGCTCCTATAATAAATCTATAGTATAATAATTACTATTTATTCCGGTTAAAATAAAATAAAAATTCTAGCTTAAAGATTTTATTAGTAACTTATTTTCTTAGTAAATATTAATTACTTTATAGTAAACTATTATAAATATTAAAGGTCTTATAAGCTAAGAAATAAAATATTAGGCCTATTATATTTCTTACTAGTTCCCCTAAAAATATAAAATGATTTATTTATAGATTTCTATATCCCTAGCTTTATAAGTAAAAAATATAATAATATATTTATTATAGTTAATTAATTATCTAAATAATATATTAGCCTACTAATAATTAAGAATATTATAGCTAGAACTATTACTAGCCTATTCTATTATTATATCTAGTAATTCCGAGGTTTTCTCTTTATTATTACTAGTAATTAAGAATTCTAGTTTATTTTGTATTTTATAAATAAACTATTAAGATTAATTAGAATTAAGCTAAAGCTCTTAATTATAGAATATATCTAAACTAATAAATAAATAGAAATTATTAACTAGATTATTAATACTTGACTTTGCCTTTTTATTAATTACTTCTAAGATAACTAGGCAGATTTATTTCCGGTATTTAATACTATAAGTACTACTTACCTATATAAGTTAACTAGCCTATCTCCCTTAATAATTAATTACGAATATAAACTCAGGCTAAATTTTAATTAGATATTACTAATAATAAAGTTTAAAATACTAAGAAAGAAACTTAATTAGAAAGAAATATATTAGTAGGCTAAAAGAATTAATATTACTATTAATTATGCCCGAAAATATATAGTAGTAGTTTAGGAATATTAAGCTAAATAAGCTAATAAGAAATAGTAAGAAATAGATTTTAGTCTAGGAAATATAGTTTATATAATTAAAAAGATATAGAAAATAAACTATTTATCTAATAAATTAGATTATTTCCTTATTAGACTATTTAAAATTAATAAAATAGTCGGCTATTTATATTAATTAGACCTTTTTCTATTATATAAGATTTGGCTAATTTTCTATATAAATAGATTTTATAAGAATTTTACTAATTTATTACCTAACTAAACTAATAAAAAGCCTAGTTTTACTAAAGTTAATAGTAAACTTAAATAAGAAGTCAAAAAGATTTTCTTTTCTAAGGTACTTTATAATAAGCTTTATTATAAGATTAAATAAAAGAAATAGAATATAAATAATAAATAGTATTTTATATTAAATTTTAAGAATTTAGTATTTAAACTATATAAATTCTATAAGTAAAACCCTAGTAAAGCAGGACTTCCTATTTAGCTAAATAAATAGATTTAGTATATTAAAAAGAATAAGTTTAATAAAGATTACTTAGATAATAATAAACCTTAATAATAAGGCCTTTATAATTAGAGAAAAAAAAGAAAAATCTAGATATTTCCCGGGTTTTATTTAAACTCTAGTATATTTTCTTTATTTTATTATATTAGTATTTATTTTCTTTTCTAGAAATCTAAATAAAATATTTTCCTTTATTATATTAGATTATACTTTATTATCTAAGTAAATTATAAATTTTTTTTTTTTAAAGCTAAGCTAAAGATAAATACTTACTTATATTAATCGTGTATTAAGACTTGCACTAAAGCCCCTGCGTCCCTGCGGGTTTAGTGCGTATTAGTAATACGGTCGAAAATCATTAATATGGTCGTTTTTTCGGAATACCAAACCCTTTTAATTAATTAAATATTAACACTATGGCCAAATTTGACCCAGAAGAAGAGAAAAGGATAGCCCAGGCCTCCGATTTCTATGCCAGGAACCCATACGTCAAAAAGTCCGCGATTGCGCGTTAATTCAGGGTAAAATATTAACTCTGGAAAGCGCGTTTGGCTGGACGAAAACCACAAAATACTAAAGGGGGCTATAACAAGACACTTACTCCTAATCAAGAGGAGGGCCTCAAGTAATTTATTAATTTCCTGATCTATTTAGGCTATAGAGCTGATCTCAAGATAGTTCGGGCGGCGGCTAATAAGATCCTTGGGGATAGCGCTTCTACCCACCAAGTAAACCGCCTATGGGCATAATGATGGTTCAAGCGGAATAAATTATGGTTTAAAACCCTTTGCGCGAAGATACTAGTATAAGAGAGGAAGGCGGCATATTGAAAGGAGGATCTGGAAGAGCATTTTCAGGAATATTACGGGGTATTAGAGAAGTTTGGAATTTGTTTTAAAGATATATGAAATATGGACGAAACTGGCTTTTGTATTAGCGTTTTAAACGGAAAGATTATTATTATATACCTTAATATAAAAGCTATCTATTTGGCAGATCCAGATAATCGAGAATTACTTACTATAATCGAAACTATATCCGCTAGCGGCGAAGTAATTATACTATTTCTTATTTTAAAGGGAGAGATCCTATTAGAGGAATACTTTAATAATGATCTTGATACCGAAACGGTGTTTGCTATAAGCTCGACTGGATATACAAATAACGTTCTTAGCCTGAAATATATTAAGCACTTCCATAATTAGATATATAGACGTATATAGGGCAAGTAGAGGATATTAATATTTGACGGTTATGGCTCTCATACTTCAGACGAGTTCCTATATTACTGCTAGTCCCATAAAATCGTCCCTTTTTAACTACTACCATATAGTATATATCTCCTTTAACCGCTCGATATTGGCCTCTTTTAACCTCTCAAGTACTGGCATTAAATCAGTATTCACGATAAGATCTAGTATAGTAATATTATTTATACCAAGCTCGATTTTCTAGTAATATACTAGATGATACGGGGAAGAACGTTCAAGCGCAGGACGATTATTAGTGCTTTTACTAAAGCGGGCCTTTTAGGGCGTAAAACCGTACGGCATGCGTACGAGAAGCTAGCTTAATTCTAACTAAAAGAAGGTTTGTTAATTGGCTATAGATTTATATAGTAATATAGGCTAATTTTGTAGCAGATAAGCAAATTGAGATTCTACCCCCACGAACCCCTCCAATATCGAAACCTTTCTAGAACCCCCCTATATTTGCGAATCGCATGGTACACAATACGTATATAAATTAACGTCTTAATGACTATTTTATCCTTGCAAAGGATGACGAGGAGTATGCTCTCACACCTAGTTTCTGGAGATCTTGGAGGGCATACCAGAAGTCAACTGAGCCCAAGCTATTTAGGGCGGGGCTAATTATGGAAAGAGAGCTCGCAAGGGAAAAGGCAGTACTCCAGGAGCAACGCGATAAGCTAGATAAAGACGGTAAAAAGCATGTGCAAAAGTATAGAGTTATTTCCAAGGGCTCGGCCGCACGTCAAATCGCTTATCGCAGAGAGTCCCTTTTTACCGCGGACGAGATGGACAATAACGCCTACCTAAATTGCCGAATCAGGGAAACTAATGCGTATATTACGAAGCATATTACTGGCAAGCTCCCATGCAGAAGACGTACTTGTGGGGAAAAAGCTCCGTATGATTTAGGAGAGCCCTTTGGCTATGGAGAGGAACCACTATTTGTCGATTATAGTGAAACTGGTCTTAAGGCTCACTACCAAAAGTTAATAGCAAAATGGGAGAAATAGAGGAAAATTGATTGCAGAATAGAGCTCTTTTATGCGAATAAGATGGATTTTAGGCTAGCTTCTCCTGGATACGAAGAGGAGTGGGTTAGTGAGTTTGGTAATATGCGGGTGGAAATGCTAGCTAGGGAGCTTGGTTTTGTTAGGCCACTACCCGATTCCCCTTTATTTTATGATAATGGCTTTGGTAATATAGTTAGATTGGATGCTAATGGGGAGGAAATAATTATTGGGTGCACTAGTAAGGACGTGGTTATTCTGTAATTAATTAATTTCTTAGAATAGTAGTATTTTGGGGGGTCGCTAGCGAGGTAAAATATGGAATCTTTCTACTATTTTTTATTATATATATATGCCATGTGAAAGTAAGAGAATTTGATTTATTAATTATAGTATAAACTCTATATAAACTGTAAAATATTTTTCTGTGATTTGTATTAAAATTTTAAAAATTGGTATTCCGAAAAAACGATCATATTAATGATTTTCGACCGTATTACTAATACGCACTAAACCTGCAGGGACGCAGGGGCTTTAGTGCAAGTCTTGACGCACGATTAGTTCGAAATATTATTAAAAATTAAGGGAAACTTTTCTAATTATTTTAATTTTTATAACCTTAACTATTTATATTATTACTATTACCTTAATAGAACTATTAATAAAGATAAAATAGATAAGAAATTCCGGTAATATATTATCTATAGCTAGACTAAGTAAGACTACTTACTAGATCCTAAATAATTTAAGTAATAGTAATAATATCTTAAGTTTAGTAGCTATAATTATTATTAATATAATTACTAGCTAAATTATCTTTATAGATAAAAATAGTAACTCTCTTATCTAAGAATAAGTTAATATATAGAATATAGCCTGCTTTATTCTTAAAAATATATCTGAAATTATTATAAAAAATATCTTAATAAAATATTTTAAAAATAATAAAATAAAGGCTTTAGTTACTAGTAATAATAAATTTAATAGTTTAATAGGCAAAATAAATAGTACTAATAAGGGCTTTCTTATTAATCTTATAGAGCCAAATACTAAGAAAATTAAAAAAAGTAAGGCTAGTATATCTAAGAAATATAAAATATTAAATAATAATAAGAATTCTAATAATAAAAAAACTAAGAATAAAAAGACTTCTAATAATAAATAAGATTCTAATTATATTAAAGATAACTAAACTAGTATTAAGATACCTATTATAATTAGGAAACATATAATACTAAGTAGTAATTATTATATAAAGTACTAGTCTAAAACTAAGAGCTAGTAAATAATTCTAAAAGCTAAATTAAAGAAATAATACCTTATAAATATTAATAAATTAGTATATAATATTATTTAGGAAGTCGGAAAACCCCTTAAAAGCTCTTATAAAACTAAAATTATATAATTTAAGGCCCGGAAATTTAATAATAAAATAGCTCAAGTAGCTAGCCTTAATATATAAGTTTCTATAATAAAGAATTAACTTGAGAGCTTATATATTAAGCTTGAGAAGGCCTAGAAATTAATTAAGTAGCTTAGAAATAGTATAATTAAGCCAAATATTACTATTCTAACTAAGAAAAAAGATAAGTAAGCTACTATATTAAAGCCTATATTAATAGATAAACTTGATCTACTATCCTTATTTAAAGACTGCCTAATAATAATAGTTCTAATATTAGCTATAGCCTATATAGTACTTCTAGACTATATTATTAATATAAGTATAAGTATAATACAAGTAATAAATACTAAGAACTAGCCAGAATATATTAGGAACTGGGTTATTCTAGTAAAGTCAAGACTATACTTTAATTATAAGTAAGCTATAGGAATTAGATAGAATAGGGTTAATAGCCATTATTTCCTTTTTTTTCTTTTCTATATTACGGCTAAATAATCCCCTAAATAAGGGCATTTAGACTTCTCTTTAGGGAGGGAGTAATGTAATGGCTGGCGTAAGGATATAATCTGCCAAGGACAGGATATTGGAAACAGGCACAAAACGAAGCTAAGCCGGAATTACTTAGGCGGAACAATACTAAAGGTCGAGGCATTCTCCCTACTTTGTTCCATAGCTTAGTATTTTCCAATACATGAGATTCTTTGAACTTTGAGCCTTCGACCATTACATTAATCCCGCCGTTACAAGGGCTCGCTTAATGGCTGGGCCCACTTTTATTAATAATTCCATTAATAAAAGTGGGCCCAGCTAGCTATTAAGCGAGCCCATTAATAATTCCATTAATAAAAGTGGGCCCAGCCAGCCATTAAGCGAGCCCATTAATAATTCCATTAATAATAGTGGGTTCCAGGGCCTTGGCAATACTATAGGGCCAATACGCTATATTTATAGGCCTTAGACCGCCTTTATAGTACTAAATCTATTAATAATAGTGGGTCCAGGGCCTTAGTAGTACTATAGGGCTACTATAGGGCTAATGCGCTATATTTATAGGCCTTATACCGCCTTTACTAAATCGGAATTCTGCTATAGTAAAGAAAAGGTGGCATGAGGCCTATAAATATAGCGCATTGGCCCTGTAGTGGCCCTGTAGTGGCCCTGTAGTATTGCCAAGGCCTTAGTTCGATAATTATCGAAAAATTAGCGCGATTATCTAATCGTCGCTTATCGAGCTTATCGGAGCCCACACTGTTTAGCAATATGCTGGTGGTGCTGCGCTCCCCGACGTGGAACGCGCTTGCCGCGATATCCCCAAATGCCCCACCCGCCAAGGTATATATGGCAATTGCTCAAACTCACTCAGATTTGTCGAATGAGGGGCAGGCTTGATACCCGAATGAAGGTCTACATTGATCGTTGCCTTGATAATCTAAAGAATTGTATATTGTTAGCTTATGAGTGAGTCCCTTGATGACAGCCACTTGCCTGTATCCGTCCAGCGTGGCCGCGTGAGATTCCAGCAGTCACCACAATGAAATGTTGTTGCATATGAGTACATGTCGTAAAGCTAGGTGTCAGATCCGGAACAATACAGTCCCTCCAAAGACCACCACACAGTGCTCCCGGGGGCTGAATCAACCCACGGATTACGATTCGAAGTTCAGTGAGGCTGAGAAGTGGGTGATGAGTTGTCCAAGTGGTCGAATTAGGTCCAACAATTACAGTGAGCTCCGTGAGAAGGGTCACAGAAAGGGTGCCGAGTATTGCTGGAGGGGGTGAGTGTGCCGATGTCTCGTTCGCGAAAACAAAGATCTGGAAAGGCAGTGAACGTGTTGCGTGAATGATGGCTGGCGACGGCAAAGTCACTTCGAGTGCAACTTTATGTTGATCCCAATGCTGCGATGCAGAGCGCGGCAGAGATGCACCAGGCGAGGTTGTTTCGGGGAGGATATTTCTGCTATTTTTTCTACCCTTCGGCTCCAGCATGGGAGGGGGTAGAGATGGATCCAGGGGCATAAACTTCAGCTCTTGCTCCTCTATGATATCTGACTTGAACCCCCCAGGACGTTCGACCGTCACTTTTAGCCAGTACTTCATTTCGCTGATAGCCCGCTTATTTGGGCCGGTGACACTGAACGATGGAGGAAGTGTGGCGTTGAGGTGCGTGATGGTGATTTTATCGTCATCACAAGCAGATAGTATAGGAATGCAAAATTGGAAGGGGAATGTCTTGGCTCCTTTCCGTAAGGAAAACCCTTTGGGGGATGTGTGGATATCAGGGGGAGGAAATAAAGTATGGCAGAGATACAAAAGCTGCGTCGTATCAGCTCTCTGTAATATAAGATCCGATGTAGCCAGAGGCACCTTATGTTTATCAGAAGCATGTTCCGTGCTTGCTAGAGGATTGATTGCTGTTGCCACTACGCTGCTAAAGAGAACACCTATAGATATAATCTTAGAGACAAGTCCAGAGCCAAGGTGAAAGTCAAGCGTAGGGAACCAACCATACCTGAAAGTTCCACCGTGATCCTTGTAACGTCATCTTCATGCGGTAGATCAAGATTAACGAATCCGCACACGCTATCAGTACTAGCGAACGGTTGATCATGATCGCCAAGCGATCGATCCAGTTGAATTGTGACTTTCATATTGTTGGTTTTGGCGCTGGTGGTGGTCAAGGGCCCAAAGTCAAGCGCCGAGGCTCTCAGCGGGCACTTTACCCCCTCAACTGCTGTACCGCAACGCCGTATATTATCATAGTATTGCTATTTGTATACATCTTTGTCGAAGCCGCTCCTTTTTGCCATATCGGAACAATGTTAGTTGATTGATGAGCTGCGTGACAACCCGAGTTCAAAGCGGGGTAAGCCGTACAAGCCTCCGATGTGGAGGGTTCCGGATCACTATCGTTGGCTCCAGCCACACCAATTCCGCAAATAGGGGAAATCTCATTGGTGTGGCTTTTGGCCACTGTTTTTGTATTAGCATGGCGTGATTGTGCTTCCTCCGGGGGTTTGGGATCCTCGACGTGATTCCGGCGCGGAGCTACAAATATTCAGTAAGGTTTTCTGTTCTGCTTTCACTAACTTCGCTAATTCCAAGGGTACTGTTCGGAAACGGACACCCTCGAAGCATTTCCAAAGGTTTACGTGGAATACTTCTGCCCTTAAATGAAGAGTTTATATATGTCTCACTCAATTGAACGATTCCGGCTTTCCGCGGAATGTGGAATTGAATGGCTGGAAGTAATCTAGTATCGTGGCACCTCGCCTTCGAACCGTTTGTTAGCGAGAAAGGCTAGTTTCGACCCCCTCAACGTGAACAGGGGTGCTCAGGAAAGACGTCGTGTCGCGACGCGTCTAACAATAGATCTGGTTCTCCAATATCCAATCTGGAAGCAACCTGCAAACTCATCTATTTGCTTGCCTTATCTCCTTTAGAGTCAAGTCGAACAGTAAATGGCTCCCACAACCGCAACCTCAGAAGTCATAGACTTGACCTCAGAGTCAAGTTCGGAAATATCCCAAGAAGAACCCCTCGAACGTTCTTCCGAAACCCCTCAAGGCCAGCTCGAGCAGCCCAAACGAAAAATCGAACGGGCGGAAAATCCCCAGTTGTGAAGCGCAACTCTCGAGCTCTGCAACCAGATCCCGGATGCCACAAACGTCCTCTCAAGACTTCTTCCTTCCCTCCCAGAGCAATTCGTAGCCGAGGCCATCCACAAAGATGTTTCACGACATCCAAAGCACCTAAGAGGCAATTGGCAAGTAAGACAGCGCGCAAGAATGCTCCATTAACAGGATCCGAAAGAGAGGGGTTTTTAAAGGAAAACGTACAGAATCGAGAATTTTTGAACGTGGGAGGTTAGGAGGGCCATCAATTATCTCTTGTATGCACCCTTCCAGGGCTGCCATAGAAGGGTGCTAGCATATATATATATAGCAGAGTTGACCTTAAGTCGTGCATAAAATTACTAGTTTGGGCGGACATTCCGGGTTTGGGAATGGTACGCGAGCAGAACAGGGGGTTAGTGTTGAAAGGGCTGGTTTGCACGTGATGTCGCCAAGGATAAAACTCCGATTTTTGGGCACTTGTAAACCCTAGCTTTTACATCAATTATGCTCTTTTACAGGATCCCAAAATTACCCTTTCAACAACTAGCAAAGGCACGCTCCTTTTGAATCCATCGCCTGAATGTTCGCCTTCTTACTTGCGCATGTAATAACAGCATGCTGGAACACAGCCAACACTTGCAGACACCAGACCCGGTACCAGTGCTCGCGATGGAGGGCTTGTGGATCGAGCGATTCGAATCACTGATTGCAGGGTTTCTCATAGCGTCTGCTGTCACTACGTCCTACGCCATTACTGGCTGCTCCACCGCTCTGGTTTCATGATTATGTCATCCCGATCCGCGGCGAGCCCCTACTTCTGGAACAAATCTACTACACTTTGCCCTTGCTGTCGCAATATCCTCGACTCTTAATGATTTGGGGTCCCCCGTGAATTCTGTGCCTTCACTGCGCGAGGGCTTGATAATATCCAACGGTTTTCTAGAAGCGTGCCAAACGCCCCTTATTTTTTTTAATCCTATTTACTTATGCACAAGATCACCATACACATGTCTCTCTGGGCAAGACTTTTCTTCATCAGCATCGCAATTGCATCTGCTCAGACCGCGGCCCCTGGACAGAATGACTACAGGTTCCCAAATTCGCAGGTCCTCGCAACACAACAAAAAGTTGCAAACTATAACCATCCGTTGCGCGAGATGGTGGGTGGTGGCGAGCAGAAAGATATCAAATACGCCTTTCTCGACTCCAAGATGCTGCAAGTGGGCTGTCCATCTGAGCAGGCTACAATTGGTCTGCCACTCCTCCCGCTGCGGAACTGGAACGAAGCCCACACTCACCTAGACAGACACAGCGGGACACACAGCATCAGAAATACGACCAAAACAAGTCATCTGGAGATGATGGATATTTGGAACCATCGAAAGATCGACCATCTTGAGTTTGTCAAGGTTGAGGTGCTTCAGCACGATCGTATGCAAGTCGTTACACACCCCGACTTCGACGCACCCGTACTGATCAAGACTGCGAGTTTCCCATGGGAAATCTTGTCTCTGGAGCGGGAGGCCACGGTGTACGGTCTCCTTCATGGCTCGGGGGCCACGCCAGAATTTCATGGCCACGTCACCGAGGGCGGTCGAGTTATTGGATTCATCACCGAGTATATAGCAGAGGTGCCGTCGATAAGGGGCAGAAACATGCAAGGTTGTCTGGCCGCTCTTCGCACTCTTCATCGGAGAGGGATCGCTCATGGGGATGCTCATGATGGGAATTGTCTAATACGCAAAGATGGGTCAGCCGTTCTTATTGATTTTGAGTTGTCCGTGGAGACATGGTCGCTGGAAGAATTTGAGAGAGACTTGGATATAATAGGTCGCTGTATTCAAGAGTTATCTGAGCATCCTTATTAATAGCGCTCGCAGACCACCTATGAGAAAATACACAGACTTACCGAATCATGGCACGAGGCAGATGGTGCAGGCGTGGTCGTACACAGCGCGCTGAGGCTGAATGCGGCTTCAAGGGCGTCGACCCATCTGGCTGGCTCAATTGCTGCGACCCTTAGCAAATAGCTCTACTCGGCAAGAGCTGCCAGCTGGACCTATGACGGCATATGACAGCTCATTTCATCCGATAAGGTTAGCTGAAACATGCCGCAAATCTTGGATTCCAAGAGAATTGGTGGCCGCAGACCAGACGAAACGCAGCCGGGCGGCTGATCAAACCCCATGTATTAATGGTGAGAACACGCGACAGCGAAATGCCTCGCACCCAGTCAGCAATAGATATTAGCCAGTGTAGCGGAAACCCGATTAGCCGCTGGGAATTAGAATCGCTTCGCGTTTTCGACTGGTTTCTGCCACTCCGGTTTGTCAATGCCGTGATCTGTAACCACGAATTCCTCGCGTCTGACGTTAGCAGATACGATGCTGAGATTCAAGGAGTGGAGATCATCTAAATGTCCAAGTCGCATCAAGGCAAGTGTAGCGCCAGGAGAATATAGAGGAGAGCCAGCCCAGGTCGAATAAAAGATTGAATTCTGTCCATCCATCACTCTCTCCTTTCGATTCAGTTACGTCTGCGACAACATACGACCCGGCGTCGTTCATTTTTCTTACATTCTTCTAATACAATATCACTCGCTTTGCGCCGTACAGTAACAACCGCCAAAATGGTTCGCATCACCTTCGCTGCTGCTTTAGCTTGTAAGTGTAGCCACACCTTCATCTGCAGTGGTAGGATATATGACCAGGCTCATGCTAACTCACTACCCGTCAGTCGCCGTCTCCGTGATGGCCCTCGCTCCCAACAACGCCGGTGCTAAGGATGTCGGTAACGGCCAGGGCCAACAGTTTACGACCGGCGGATGCGTCTCGGATGCCGACTGCAGAAGCACCTGCTGTGCCGAGATCAGCACCAGCGGCCTCGGCATCTGCTCTGCCGTAGGAGCACAGCTCCAGAATGGCAAGCTCGGATGTGGCTTCAATGACCCCAATGCCGCCGTAAGAAGTGTCTCACTCCCGTTGCTCTACAACTTTGCTAACAAGATTCCAGGCTGTCATCGCCGCTGCTAAGGCCCAGGTTGCGAAGCAAGGTTTCAAATTCATGGCCTAGGTAGCGATTTCATGCCATCGTTCTAGTTGTCCTTGTGATCATATGAAAGAAGATGGAAAGTTGCCGGTCGCACAGGTAGTCATTGAATAGTACTGGGAGCATTTCTTCACGATTTCTATAGTTGCGAAAGAGATGTATGAAAAGAAATAGCTTTATGAGTCCAAAAATATAGAATAAAGGAGTGATCAAAGCGTGTAGTTATTTGTAATTCAAGGAAGTAAATAACTCCATAGCATTAGCGGCGCGGCGGCAGTAAGCGAGGCAGCTTCGCCCCCCCTATCTTTCCAAGCCTGGTTACTCTATCTCCCAACAACTTTGCCGATTCGGGTGAGATTATTGAGTGCCCCCACAGCACCCTTATATTGTGTCCATTCGATTGGCCCTCGATGTTCCTCTGCCAAAGCTTTTTATCTCAAATTTGTGACTTAGAGAGGTTTCATTAAGGGCCATAGGGAGGCCACAATCTTACTCGCTAGTGCGTGGTTGGGAGAGTCTTGCGGAGGGTAAAGACTTGGGGGAAATTGCCCTCGCTCTCGGCAAGGATATGGACATCGCTTTGTGTCAAAGATCGATGGAAGGGGAAAGAGTTGAAAGAAGTTAAGTGGATTTTTGCAGCTCAGGGTGTAGTTACTGGTGACGGAGCATTGGATCTGTAGGCGGGAGAGATTTTATTTATATTAAGAAAGTGCGGGAGAAAAGGCAAAAACGTTTCATATCGTAGAAAACGATCCAATCAATAGCTTGTGTAACGGCGGCTTTGTGTGAGGTGGGGAGGAAGTGGGATCACGTGGAGCCTAGAAAATTTTGAATCTCAGGTACGAGTATTACAATACTCATTGAGGCCTGGACAAGGTCTTTGATAACTCACTACACTGCCTGGTATACGTATGTTGCATTTGTGCAATTCTCACAAGAGCATCCTTACAACAGCAACTGAACAGCCCGCTCGCGCTTCAACTCAACCACCCCAATCTCAAATCAAGTTTAATCTTCGCATCTGATTGAATGCAAACTTTCTTGTAGGCTGCCAGACTCTGTTCTTGCCATCAAACTGTACGTACCCCACTCCAACGAGCAATCCACCTAGGTGAGCTGCATGAGCCCATCTCAAGAGTCCGCCGAATCCAATAAACGTCCCCCATGTCTCAAATGCCAGGAGCACGAGAAGAGCCTCCTCTGCCGGCAGACTTCCAGGAACGAACATAATTCCAATGTGTTGATGCGGATAGTTCATAGCCCACGCGCCAAGCAGTGCCATGATAGCACCGCTGGCGCCCAAACCAGGCGAAATTCGGTGTGTTTTGTTTGGCCAGATGGTACCGAAGTGGTATGCCAGACTTGCCATCAGGCCCGAAGACAAGTAGAAAGCAGTGAGATGGCTGCCGCTCGACTCGAACGTGGGGCTTCCGGCCACTTGCGGTCCAAACATGGAAAGGCCGTACATGTTGAAAAACAGGTGAAGAAAACCCGCATGTCCAAACATGGAGCTGAATAGCGTAAAGTTGCGAGTATTAGCAGGTATATGTTCAAAGAGCAAGGTTGCTGAAGGCGAGAAACGGCAAGCTCCAAAGACACCGATATTCAAACCACCGATGATTGCGAGCATTTTCTCCGCACTATTGAGACCAGACCACGGGGTGGTGAAGATGTCTATAGGCGAAAACCCCGTGGTCGCTGCTGACTGGCGCACACCCTTGTTGGTCCTCACGTCATCGACGTTGTTGTAGGTGACATCCCCCAACGGCCGCTTCTTGAATTCCTGTACGTCTTGGTAGACTTCATATGCTGCGCAGCTTAAGTATATGGTGCCGGCTGCGGTGAAGACCCATAATGTTGGACCGAGAGCCCGCACTGGTGGCAGGGTGAAGTAATATGGATTGTGCTGCTGGCTTGAGTATGAATGCTTGCCCAGCGCACGGCCTCGAGCTCGAGGGGCAGATTTGACGAGGCGGCACGTCGCATTCCTCAAGAACAGGGAACGGAACATCGTCGTTGGGATCAAGTTCAGGGCGCCATAAGGAAGGCGAATACCCTTCTTCGCAATTCCAATGGTCTTATTGGGTTTCTTGATGTTGTGTTTCCAACAAGCTTGAGTTCTCGTTAGATGTTGCCAGTGCCTTTGGATTGGGCGGCTGGGCCGGAAATTTCCATATCAATCACGTGAACCATCACGCTAGCTCAATTAGGTAGTAGCATTACAGTACCATATCGGCTAATCAGAAGCCGGAACGCAGGCAGAGCGTGGGCTTTGGGAGATCTGAGGAAATGGGTGATTATAAATTTCAATCGGCTCATCTTTGTGTGTTCACATCCATAATCCAAATTTTCTGCCAGCATATGAGGCGTCGCTTTCCATTTCGGGGTCACCTTTGACATTCGCTCCAAGTCAACCATCGCGACCTTCCTACGAAGATCACGGGCATTTGTGCTTTAACAGCACCTTAGTGTCTTTTTTTTTTTTTTTGGCGCACTCGGTCACTAAATTACCCTAGGCCATCGCCCTAAAAGCACGCCAGTAGAAGGCGGGACCTAGGGGTTTTAGGGCTTACTCCCCTGTCCTTACAAGGGGTACTTCGCTAAAGAGCCCTTTTGATTACCTATTTAACGTCCAAGCGCTATCGTTGCTCCGCCAGCAGCGCTATTTACTCCTAAAGATCTTCTCATACCTTGCGAATGTCTCACAGCACCTCTTGAGATCTGCTTAGGGCGTATGGCCTGGAGTCATAGGGCCTTACAGCGGCCTCAACCCCTGTAATCCCGTCACTTTATGCCGTGATCTTCGTACTCCCATACCCTTCCTCGTCAAAATTTCATGAATCAAAACCCAACTCTTAACTACGAGTTCTACCGACTCTGGTTTTTTGCAGTCCGAACGAGCCCTTTCCTTTCTTCTTGCTGTCCACGACGTTTCAGGTTCTGTTTTCACACTCTCCGACCTGGAATCTCGCTTCCGCTTTCAACTCTCGACCACTTCTTCCACTTCGCATCGAATTGCACGCAACGCAACAGCCATTGGGCACCACTCCCCCGTTTTACGCAAGATTGCGGGGTGGGTATGGGTTTCTTCCATTCTGCGACAGCGCTGACCCGATTCCAGTGCTGATCATGCAGCCACCTCGAGTTCGTTTTCACAGCAGCGAGAGACATTGACTTCCTTTTCACAACGCGATTTCTCTTCCACCCCAAGCTTTCGTCCATCGAGTGAAAGCTAGTTTACTTCGAGCACTCAAGGAGAATGCAATGTCAGGCAAACGACAGTCGCAGAGACACCTCAACAAGGCCAAGCGTGAACACGAGGAGTCCCTGTCTACAGACAATACCACTGATTCCACGCCGGCTTCAGCAAAACGCCAGCGTAAGGAGCCCAAGGATTCGATGACTGGTCCCGCAACGACTGCTCTCACGATGTCCCTCTCGCACACGACCATCGTCCCTAACACTGTTCTCCCGGTGTATCAACACATGTTGCCAAAGAACCCCGAGGGCATCGCATTCCTCTTCGGTACACGCTTCTCCGAAGCCCTCCAGGTGCCCGCCGAACGCGTTGCCATTCAATACCAAATCACAAAAGAGGACGCGATCGAGGAACTTCGTCGACTTCTTATTATCAAGGCGTTCACGGCTGATGTCGATGCTAACAAGATTAGTCCCACGCCCCTTAGTATGCGCAATCATCTAGACCCTCTCTCACTCACTCATACTAACCTGCGAAAACAGTGGACGAGCTTTGGCATGCTACCATCCTCGATACAAAACTCTACGCAGATTTGCAAGAAGCTCTTGGACTCGTTCTTCACCATCGACCGTCCGGAGCGAGCGACCAGGAGTCTGAGCACCGCGAGAGGCGATTGACTGTGATGAAGGCTATCTACCGCGCTAACTTCTCGACTGAGCCACTTGAACGTGCTTCCCTTCAAACCAGCCGTCCCCGGCCTAGCCCGCGCCATCTGAACACTATCTCCATCTTCGTCAATACTACGATCGAAAAAATACACAAGTTAACTTTCGGCATGCAGACGTCTATCGATGATGTGAAGAGCGCAATCTACTCCATCAACGGCACACCAGTTCACGACCAACGACTCTATTATGATGGCTGTCTATTGGATGGCGCGACCCTGGAGGCCTATGAGATTGATAATGATGATACGCTGTATCTTTTTAGGAGGCAAGTTGGATGTTGATTTGGGCAAATGTGCTACCGACTCGAGGATCCCAGCCAGTGGTTAAGGAAGGACTGGTAATTCAGCGCTGGCGCCTGCAGCTTTTCTTTTCACTCTCGCCCCATGGGCATGCGGCATTGTCCTTTATTTCTTTTGCTTCCTGTTCACACACCTCATCGGTGTGATTGATTGGCGGTTTCCTTTCTTTGCACGGTAAAATCACTTTCTGACGAGGGCGTCAGATGCTTTTGAAGTAGGGGAGTTTGCTGGGGAATTCATAAGCTACATAATTTCCTCTTAGATACCCGAGACATTCAGGCATAAGTTACATCTCCTACCGCATCCACCACTTATTCTCCCAGAAATGGTGCCTTGACGGTCGCCGTTTTGCGGATATCTGGAATTGGTACCTCTGGTATCGAAGCGTGGAGCTGGTCGAGTCAGAGCGTCACGGGAACGTCTCGCTACGATCATATCCTGCCAGGCTTCTTGTTTGTTGGCCAAGTTTTTTAGCCATTCTGATGCTAGAGTCTTTTCGTCCGGGGCTGAAATGTGGGGTCGAAGTTCAGGGTCGAAGGTATTGTAGACGTAGAGGTGCTGTAGGTATGGAATTATTGGCGAGTGACGCAATTACGTAGTGTATCCGCCTACTCTTCCTCTCCCGAGTCCTCAACGAATAGACCGTCTTGTGTCAGCGCGAAGCCTGGTGGGATGTCATAGACCTTCTTCGTAATTTCATCCTTGAATGTACCGGCGGCCGTCTTGAAGTAACCCGGGGGCACTTCGAATCGTTCTAGCTTGGATGCGACTTGCTTCGGCTTTGGAGCGATCGGCTTCGGTGTAATGGGCTTCGAGTCGTCGACGAGTTTTTGCTTCGGGGTAGCGTTACTACGTCGGGCCTTTCGACCGGACGGTTGCGGCTTTGTAGCGGGAATATCTTCATCTTCGTCGTAGTCATCGTCATTCTCCTCCGGGGTTGGTAACTTACTTACGCAAATGTAATTCAGTAACTTGAAACGTGACTTGCTATCAAAGCATTCTAGGTACTGACCCACAATCCCAATAACCAGGTCCAAACGAGTTTCGGTAATATATCTAATTAGTTCCTCTCGCCCGTCTAGACCTATCCTGATATCCGCCCGGCATCCGCCGCAGCCTGGCAGCACAGTGGCCATCTTGGGCTTCAATTTATGTCATAGAACGAAGCCAATAAGTGTGAAGCCCAATGGAAATTCACCGCCAGGTCTTTGAAATATTCCGAACCAAGAGGACAAATGAACTCCTAGGCCGAAGCGAAACAGGCCCCCTGTCGTATCGCAGCTCTCATTTCGCCCATCTCGGTATAATCCACAGCACAAAACTGTCAGGCACCATGAAATGGCGGATGGACATTCCAAGGCGACTCTAACATAATTCTCGTTAGCCGCCTTTATGTTTGGAGTGAGGAACAGCTTGCGAAAACTCCTCGTTGGATGGAGAGGGGGGCTCATGAGATGGATGATGGAGTTGACGGCCTTGGTGGTGGTACAAGGGAGAGGAGAAATTACGCGGGGAAGCTTTCGAAAAGGGGGCAGAAGCAAACGCGGTGAAGTTGTCTGCTCGCTTATGCACTTGCAGTACGATTGGTCCTTTTCATTGCAAGTTGTGGATATATCCCAGATCACCACATGGCCTGTCACATACGACCGTAGACCGAGGAAAATTGCGTTATCTCGCATCTCGCCTGTACTCGCATACCAGATTATTAAGAATTATATTTCCTATTTCCAAGTTCGAATAACCGGCAATATGATCCAATATTTCTTTTAGTGCGCCACCTTCGTAACCGTGACAGGCAGACCCTTCGCCGGCTTCGCAGCAAAGTTGCCCTCCATATAAGCCATGCCTCCCAGCTCCGGCGGGAGGCATATATCGCCATCATCATACGCGAGTGCGATGTCGACATCGCGTACTGTCAGTAGCAGTGCCGTCACCAGACCAGGCATCATCATATTCTCGCCCATGCAGCTATGCTGGCCTCGCTGGAAGGGTCGCCACGAGTCCGCAAGTTCGGCGGACGGATGCGGCAGCCAGCGCGAAGGGTTGAATGTAAGGGGAGAGGGGACGTAGTCGTCATTGTATTGGAGGCGGAAGAGGTTGGTGAGCAGCTAGGGGACGGGAGAAAGGGTTAGATTTGGAGACTGAATTAAAGGGTGTTGACAAGAGGAACTGAGAATGCGGAACCTACAAAACACCCGTCGAGAGAATGTTCGGTTCCTTTGTAGTTGACCGTGTGCCTACGAGTAGCGGAGAGGTAGGTTAGCTTGTTCTCCAAGCCTAGAATCCTGCGGCAGAGGAATGGAGGCCACACAAATCAGCGACACTTACCCGTTCGGCGCAGTGGTTCCTGATAGCCCCGGTGGGCGCAGCCTCATGCTCTCCTTGATCACCGCCGTAGTATAGGGTAGCTCTTTGATTTTGCTCGGGTTCCGGCAGATGGTTTCTAGCGTGGCCTGCATGTTACCAGGAAACACAGAATTGTGCTCTTTGCGCAGCTCTGCGGCTACGGCTCGATCTTGGGCAACGTGGCAGAAGATGTACTTTTGTAATCAGCGAGGGAGGCCGGAACAGTGAAGTGTGTGGGGGGAAGGGACACGCAACTGTAAGAACCATGGATGACACATCCGCAGCAAGGAACATCGTCGCCAGAGTGTCTACGTGTTGAACAAGCGTATCGGCGTCCCACTGTGTCCTTCCTGGATACTCCTCCCTGTATTTCGTGACCAGTGAGTCTATCACGGACACAAATTGGTCATGCCCCACGGGCTGGTCCCGTTGTAATGTATCTTTCAACGCTTTGGATATCATCTGCCGCACATAGTCTTGACAGAGGTTCCGCGCCTTCTTTTGCTGACGAAGGGTCCATGGATTCACAGAAAATGGGTGGTCCGCTGCTGCAACGAGTGCCTGCACCTGCGTGTTGGCTTCAGCGCCCCAGCCCCCTCGCTGCACTCCGGTATCCTTACCAAGAAGGAAGTGGAACGTGAGATCGGCACCCCATTTCTCGAGAGGCCCGATCATGGGAAACGGGTTGCCGATTGTGGCTCGCTTTAATAGCGCCTCACGGAGCTGCATCGAGTACCGCGCCATTGTGGGCACGAAGCGCTGTACATTAGTGATGGAAAAGGCGGTGCGAATCATGGTCCGCGAGCTATGCCACTCAGACAAGTCGGGGGACACAAGCCCACGGGTCCCGCCCACGAGGGGCTGTAGCGCCTGCTTGAGGACGATCGGGTGCCGCGGGTAGTCATTGAGAAACTGGCTGGCGATCGCCAGATCACCCGTGATCAGGAAGGGGTCGGCGAGGGGCCACAGGTCGAGGTACCACAGATCCGGGAGGTTGAATTGGGCCTGGATCCGGTTTATAGCGACGGCGATGGGAATTTTCCCAGGAAGCTGCCGAGCGACAGAAGAGAAGAGGGCAAGATGCCCAAAGAGAAAGCTGTGAGGCGGCTTGGGCTGCGGAGGCGCGAGATGGTGGTGAGCAGCTATCAAGTCAAAAGGGTGGCATAGGGACATACCAGATCTTTGAACCGCCGGCGATGTGCAGCCAGCTTCCACAGGAAGCTGGAGATGGCTAGAATCAATCCAGAGACAAGAGCAACGATGAATTCCTTGAAAAGAATCATGGTTGAGTTTTTGGCAATGCGGTCGATACTAGACTGATACAGCTGTCCGCAGAGGAGAAGCACAAGCAGAAGGCGAGGCCATGCCTTTTACTGCTCGAGTGACTTGCAGCCGGCCGCGATTCAACGAGCCCTCAAAGCCTAATTTGCATTCTCTTCCGCTCGAGGGCGGCCGACGCGCGGTCCGAGAGAGCATTTTCGGAATCTCTGGAATGAATTTGGACTGCGGATAAGGTCACTGGACTGTGTTCTGTCGTGCGTCGCCAGATGACGCTTGTAAGCTTACCTGCGCCCCTGTGACCTCTCCTGATGAAGCACAGCCACCAAGTAGGAACTCGAATGGATGGCTCGCTTACGACACTAAAAGGGGCCACCACACACCACATACCACACAGCCCTATGGCTGAAACCTGCAGTCCTCGCCTATTCCCGCGTAGAAAGGATCCGACCTATTAATCGCTGCGATTTCGCGGGAGAGGTTGGTTGTTGTGGTGTTGTCTAATTTCTGGATGCCTAGCGTGGCTTGTGTTCACCCCGCCACGCCGTCTAGATCCAATTGAAAGTCTGCTCCTCATGGCCCTTTCGAAGCGAGACTGCTAGTTTCAGCCAGAAGGGTGAGTTGCTGCGGTACCACACGACTAGATGAAATATTCAAAACCTATGGCCGTACTCCGTATAAATTGAAATAACCCAGAATTTGTCACATAGGACCGCAGAGTGAGGGCAATTGGGTTATCCCGAGTCGTTCTGGCATCAGAAGTATTCAAATTATAGTCATAGCTCGGGTTTGGGAACAGGACTTGGTAATCACCGCACGTGACTGTTCTAAGCCAATCTGCGCATTTCGAGTCACTTTTTCATCCAAGGATGGATGGCAGAGCTGGTTATAAAAAACCTAAAATTCAAAGAAAACCACCTCACAAGTCAACCCAAGTACTAATTCAATATTCAGCCAGGTCAAAGTAATTCCTTACTCGTTAGCACAATTTCCTGGTCACGAAAGTGGCGTGTCCGAGTCCCACTCTGTTCACAACACCCCCCTTTTTTGCTCTGTTTTTGGTTAAATTGTTTCGCTGGAGCATGAACTGGAACCAAGTCTCAGGACTTTAACATCCGGTCCGCTCTACCGTATACAGGCCTCAGATCAGCAGATCCGAAGTTAGGTTGGTGACCGCCAGCGAATACCTGCTATTGTATGCTTTTCATTTTACTTAATCTTTGGATTGAATTACTCTCGTTGGATAGGAATTGTTCTCGTTGCAGTCCCAGTTTTTGATATGCGCTGATTCATGGTTTTTGTCGTAAATAGGGGCTGCTCGCTAAAGAAGCCGTTTCCATCACTCCTACCCCCCGCCTGGCGTCAGAAGCGCCATGTCTCAAGCAGCCGTCAACCGCTATCCCCACTTCCTACGAAACCGTCCCAACGACACACATCAAACTTTCCCAGCACCCTAAAGGCTCTCTAACCGTAACACCAATAATAATTCTAACTCTCAATCGACCGCAAAATCAGAATGCTTTTACTCTCGATATGATGTCTGATTTCGAGAAAGTGTACCCGATGTTCGATGTCGATGAGCGGGTGAAAGTTGTTGTTTCGACGGGAGCGGGGAAGACATTTTGTGCAGGAGTGGATCTGGATATTGGTTCCATGGCGGCCAGGAGAGAATCATGGACCATAGGGATAGGTATGTTTGGCATTTGTTCAGACGAAATGATATGCGGGCTGAGAGAATTTGAAGTGGTGGAAGGCTTGTCTTGGCGATTTACCGTTGTCAAAAGCCAACGATTGTTGCGCTGCAAGGCTCTGTGGTGGGGCTTGGGATGACGATGGCTTTGCCAGCTGCAATCAGGTTCGTATTTATAAACCCCTTGAAACTTCAAACATTCATCCTGAATCTGGAATGTAATCTTACCTCGATCGTGGCTTACTCCACCAGAATCGCCCATGAGGGCGGGAACTACGGCTTCGTCTTCGCCCGCCGAGGAATCACCATGGAATCCAGCTCCTCTTTCTTCCTCCCCCGCCTTATCGGCTTCTTTCGCGCAATGTACCTCGTCACAACAGGCGGTGTCTATCCGCCCAACTCCCCGCACTTCGGCCACCTCTTCGCCGAAACACTGCCGGAAGCATCGCAAGTTCTTCCCCGCGCGTTAGAGCTGGCGAAGGAGGTGGCAGAGAACGTGAGTCCGTTGGTTTTGTACCTGAATCATTCTTTGATGTGGAGAAACCCGGGGCCGGCTGAGGAGACGCACTTGCTTGACTCGAGTGTGCTTTATCATATGTTTTTCCCAAAGAGAGAGAGAGAGAGAGATAGTTGATGTTCATGGGTTACAGGGACCAGAAGGAAGGCGTGGGCGCATTCTTTGAAAAGAGGAAACCGGATTTCAGAGGAATGGTTGAGGAGGATACCCCGCCTAATTTTCCATGGTGGAGTGAAATTGACACGGGTCGGCGAGCAAAAGCTGCTAAAATGCCGTCGAAGCTTTAAATGACATAACCATCGACACGAGAAAATAGCTGTTAATGATATTCGTTCTAGTTTCCAATTCTATTCCTGTTCAATTTCATATCTAATATTATAGCTACCGAAGAAGGCTTTTGTTGAACTTTGAAATTTATAGGACCTAGAAAATTTATAGCATTCTCATTAACGCAACCAACGCTCCGGCGACAACTCCCGTTCTAGAGACTACGACATCATGGCTTCTAGCATTCCCTGTATTCGTTGCTGCAGCCGCTCCAGACGACGACGCACTGGAAGCATCTCTTGAAGCGAAGATGCAGTACTTGATACCACACCGTTTGCAGATGAAACAGCACTCGATGCTACTTGCATGATTTCAGAGTCGGTACTGTTTTATAGAAGAGGGATTTCGAGCGGATGCAATGATCAAGTAGTTCTTTGATATACAGAGACATGAACGGAAAGTAGAATCGAGCTCTTGAGGGAAAGGCTGGAGGAAACTCCATGGTCGAAGGACTCTTACACTCAACGCACTCGACCCCTCAGAGCCACCAGCAGTACCGGCAAAAATCATAGCAGATGAAACAATAGGACTTGCTTCCCTTGTCGCTGAATCAGCTACAGTAGAAGCAACGCTCTGAGCTGACGAAGCAATTGAACTGGCTCACTCTGTAGCCGAACTCGCAACACCCAGCGCCGATGAAACAACCGAAGATGCTTCAAAATTATAGTGGCTCGCAAACCGTTGCACCATAATTCGCTGCCGAGCGTGACTGAATTCGAGTACGAGGTGGCGGAAGCGACGTTTGATTGATAACCACCTTGAGGGGCTCGCTTTCCGTATTGTGCTTTGTAACCCGAGGCAAGCGCTTGTGCGGAGATGACGGCTGCGGATGTTGCTGCTTCAGCGGCGTTAGCGAAGTCTTCCCATGATTGTCGCCTGCTGATCTCCGAGGCGTATTGGGATGCGAGGGCTTCGGCGGCGACTACTGCTGCTTGCCAGTCTTGAGCCACGGCAGCGCTGGAGAGAAGACTGATGACTGCAAGGTTAGTGAACTGTATTTTGTTTGTATGTGAAGGTGGTGTAAAAATTATGGGTGAGTGAAAACGTTGGAAGACAGGAAGATTATTTCTGTTTGTGCAAAATGAAGACTCTCTCCGGATTCAAGCCGATATTACATGTACCTTTCCCAAGCGTACTGAAGTGGGATTCAATTGCAGATCCACGCATGCCAGACTTGAAGGGGCAACTTGGAGGACCGCTTGGTCTGATTCCAAATTGCTGCGAAATAAATATCACTGGCATAACATCCACGAGTTGGTCGGCCTGAAACTCAGCAATATTCAAAAATCGTCGTACTAGAAAAACATTTCATTCTCGACAACCTTTCGTCATCTTCGCACGGAAAATTTAGGCATATTGAAGATTACCTTCCGAGAGCAAAACTTTTCGCCGAAGGGGGAAATCCTTCGAGTGGCCATGGACGCGGAGCCCACAACCTCGATCCCACACACCTTGTGGGATTGAACTATGCAGAGGCCGCTCTAAAGGCTCCACATATGATTGTAGAAAATTGGAGAGTAAGCTGGGACAAAACTTTCCGAAAATGGACTTTCTGGTGACACAATTAAAGGCTCGATTAGAACACACTTCCCAACACTTCGTGGAGAATCCAGTGAGTTTCTGGAGCGGAACGTTTGAAATGTTTTTCCAGCACTTCTTTCACCGTGAGCAGTTGAAGAACGCTGTTGGAGAGGCTCTGTCGATTCAAATTGCGCCAGCACTGTTAAGCTCCGGAATATTCGTCATTTCAGCCGCAAAGATCGACGTCGTCTTGCGCAAGCCTTCTGCTGACTGCCATCTTCCGATTCGGAGATCTTTTCTACGGATAACTCTAGCCCGAATGATAGGGGCGACATCCTGGTCTGCTTAGTGTTCTGTGGCGCTCAGCGAAAAGCCTTGTCCTGGACGATTGCGTATCATCTCCGGTTGTATTTATTGAGTAAAGTTCAAATCCATTCCCTGATATGGGAAGCTACTGTCCGACAAATCCGTCGTTCAAGTGGTCGTTCCAGATCGGACACCCATCCCCTCCACTGAATAGACACTCGTACGAGAAACTCTCAGCACTCCCTCAACTGCAAAAGCATGTGTAACGTTTTTCCGATAGTCAGGGCTACCGCTCCGGCTAGTGAGACAGGGGAGGACAAAAGAATCTGTTTTTGCAACTTTGCTGTCTGCTAGATTTGGGGAATGGAATCAATGAATATGCGAAGACGGCACATGGAGGTATCTTTGGCGTTGAGCTTGATGAGGTGATAGGTACTGCTGCAAACATGCAAGCTGATAAGTAGAATTCTTCTTATACATTGGGCGCCTGGGTTTGTTCCCAGCATCTCCCACTTGAGAAAATCAATCGGGGTTAACATTTTACAGCTCGGGGAGTACAGGGACGTTGGTTGATGGACAGATGCAGAGTCGAAGGCTAAGGCGAAGCCATGGGGGGTAGTGACGCAGGTCTTGGTTGGGTGTCCGATACCCGGATTATGGATCGTACAGCAATCTGCCATAAATTGAACGGTACTGGCTTTCATGTCATTAGCGCAATTTTCACTCAATTTAGCCCCGTTAGCCTTCGCGGGCAAGGTGAACAGAGAAAGATGGGGGAGTTCGGTGTCTCTGTGTACTAGTAAATTGGTATTGCCAGTGTTCGTCCACAACATTGCTGTCCTCGTCCTCCGCATATTGAACGACTTCTCCGAGTAAGCACCCCACGTCGATATTCCTAGTAGTATTGGCAACCTCTTCCCAGATCACGTGTCGTATTTCTGTGGGAAACTTTGGAACCAGGTGAAAGCATGGTCGGGCATCGTGCTTCGAAGGCAACGCTCATGCTGCGAAGGTACTGTACTGTACCTTCGAGGTTGGTGCTCTGGATGTCTCATGCGTGACTCCATTCAACGTTCAGGGCAGTTTGAGGTAATTGACATTGAGGCAGATTTGCGAGACTGTAATGATTGTTGGACCTTGAAGCACAGAAGGAGAGAGGGCGCGTCGGAACGCGCTTCGGCTGCGCGCTTCGAATTGGGACTGGCGTCAATCGCGACTTATCAACTTCAACTTCAATTTCACCTCATTACCAGCAGCCGGATTTTCAGGAACAAGACCGAATTGTAAGTTCTCACTGTATAGCCTTTTGGCATGCTCTAACTAATAAGTAGCTGCAAGCTTGACTGGGCAAGGGCCCACAATTGACAATCTTGAGCAACTTAACCTCCTCTTCAACCTCGCCTCGAACTCCAAGTCTGCACGTACGACACAGCGTTCAACACATGTTATTGCACGACGAACTTCCCCAAAGCTTTACACGGAGGATATGGCAGAATTGCGAACATTTACCTGCTTCCCGACGCTGCCTTTGGAGATTCGGAACATGATATGGAAAGAAGCGGCCAACCTCCCGAGAAACCTCGACATATGGACACGCCCTACTGGGGTAACCTCCTATCGGGACATGGAGTACGGGGACGACCGTCTAGAGTGGAAGAAATACAGGACATTTAGATACACGACACGACAACCTGTTCCTGGAGTTCTTATTGCTACCAAGGAGTCTAGAGCTGCTGCTCGGGAGTTCTTCGACATGAGCTTTGGAATCTACATTGACTGGGGCGGCGGCGTGAAGATTACCACAAATCCTGAGATCCTCCGCAATTTCCAAGCAGATCGAATCTGCCCCATGGGCCCTTATAGCGAGGAGGCATCCGGGTATTTGTGGAGCGCGGAACCGTCGCCATCCTGTGCAGTGAACTTGTATCGCACGCCCAAGGGCGATCCCGATCCTCTCAGTAAACTCCTCTTTTACGCCGACGGCTTCCATGAGGAAATTCTTCTCTATTATTGTGAAGAAACGGTCGCTATCAATGGCTCATTTGATTTCCTTGAATTGTCGGAAGAGCAGGCATCCTATCTTGAGTGGCAGGCTCTTCTTGAAGCGCGGCGAATGCTTCAAGAAGACTTTGACTCTGAGACTGGGCTTAGTATAGAGGAGGCCAAATTAAGACATGAGGAGCAGAGCTTGGGGCCTCCCACCCAGGAGAATCTTGACTTGGGTTGGGTTTTCCCGAGAATCAAATTTATGGCACTTGTCGTGAATGGAATTCGACGACGCTGAAACAGATCGTGACTTCTCTGAAAATTACAGCTGTTTTCGCGCCAGTAATATATTTTGCCCGGACCTCCCCGTGGCGCAGTCTCAAGCAGCCAATTGTTCTTGGTTTTCTGAAGGGAAATCGATCGGTATCGGGATAGAAATCACGTCTGCTGAGCTTACTAGCCCCGGATTTTGTTGGTCTGGGTTTTGCAAGGAGACAACGTCGTGACGTTGCTATAGCTAGAAGTGGCGGGGTGCTGCATTGAAAACGGAGGATTTGAGGGTTGAAGGTCATATTTTCCCAGAAAACTTCGTGCAAGTACCATTACGGAACTCTGTTTTGTGGTTGCTACCCATCGGAAAGTTTGTGGAGCAACGCGTTGTTGATCACATGAAGTCATTAGCAAGGAGTGGTGAACCTGAAAATCTTGCAAGATACGAGAAGAGATTGTCTTCCTGATACCAAAATACTTTGGCAAAGTTGTTCGAAGTTGGAAGATTATCACCAACCTCTGAGTTCCAATGATATTTCATAGTTTAGTCATGCCATGCATTTCAGCTCTGCTACATGTATCTCATTTACATAGGTAGGCTCTGGCAACCGAGTCAGGGGTTTTCGCTAAAGTTAAGCGAAGAGGCTCGACCATGATCTTCTAAGATTTGTGCGTGTTTGAGAGTGAGAATAACCTTTTGAGGCTGTTTCAGGCAACTTACCTAGTATGATCTCAACTTTAATGTCCTTTAGGCAGAAATACAGTGCTCGATATGTGCTCCAAGGTGAAACCTCGAGAGCAACTGTCCGGCGCTTTGCACAGCAAAATAAGTGCCGAGTCCCTCAAACCCTTCAAGGAATGAGCTCTCTTGTGAACTTTATTCTTCCGCACCTTGACACAGATACGATAATGAGTAGTGTCAAATGCCGGTCTGATCTCATTCGCTGAGAATAATTCTTGGAAGAGAGTGAGTGAGCTTTCAAGTGAATGAGAATTTGATCAGTGGGTAACTCCCAGCAAGCCTTCTCGCTTCATTATCCAGTACTGATCATTGATCTAAAATCCTTTCAGCGAGGCAGGACCTCCTTCCAACCCCAGAAAGCTTAATCGTCAAGGTGCATTTAAAGCATTGTAGCGCCACTTAAAGCATGTTTTTTGTTGACAAAACCTTGTCAAATCAAGCATTCGAGACACGGAATGTTGGCAAATATTCTACGGTTGATCCCATATGACTGGTATGTGCATCTATTACTAATATATTTCTCCTTTGTCCCAACATCATTGGAGTCCTGGTTGGGATCGACAATCTCTAGTCTTTTCAGAGGCTCCCTTCATCTGGCCCACCCACTGTGTTGTTACTGAATGAACTCTCATATCCGTTTTGATTATTACCCAGTATCTCTCCTTTGGCCAGAAGATGTCAACACAAGTTGGAGCTTCGGTTCCTCCCACCGGTATCACGCCGAATTTTGATCAACCGCAAGATGTCTTATATACCGTCAACTTTCTCGTGGAGATCTTGTGTATCGCTCTTGTTGTTACGTTCGTATCATTGCGGATCTATGTCAGAGCTTGCACGATGAAACAAATTGAGAAGGAAGACTGTAAGTATCTCCCACATTTTAATAGAGAATAACGACTGAATGATTTTAGGGGCGTGTGTTGCCGCTGGGGTATATTCTCTAAGTGGCATAATCTTTTGTCTCTGTGCTAACGCTTCCCAGATTCTAGCTACGATGTACTTTGTTTCGGGAATATTCAGTGAGTATCATCGCGATCAAGGAGCGGGCCGGGCTGATTTTACCTAGTGGGCCATTTCGGCGGAGGACACCATATCTGGGAGGTGACTGAGGAGGCCTTCGTCAAGTATCAAAAGGTACTTTGCCTACTCAATCCTAAATACCAAGCTGACTTAGAGACGGGGTAGGTTCAGTATGTGGACGCTATTCTATACGGCCCTACAGCATATCTCACCAAAGTCACTCTACTCCTCATCTTGGCACGCCCGCTCGCCCCATACAAGAAAATAATGGCCTTGATCTGGGGTTCCATGGGAGCCATGTTGGCATTTTACATTTTCATCACTATCCTCAAAATTCGGATCTGTACGCCGATAGATTTGTTCTGGGACCCAAAAGTTCAAGGTTCTTGCTGGAACGAGCATTTGATTTTGATCGCAGATACAGTCATGAGTGTAGTTTCGGATCTGGCTGTTTTGGCTCTCCCTATGCCGCTGCTATGGTGTATGCAGATACCTGTCAAGAAGAAGCTTGGAATTGCAGCTTTACTTGGATTTGGTGGTGTCGCAACTGCAACCAGTATTGTTCGCTTGGTTTTGATATTTGGTTCTTTGGCACCAGACAAGACTGTGGCTGGGGTCCAATTCAAGCTACTTGAGTAGGTTTTGAATCAAATTCTAGATCAAGGGCATAATTTCTAACTCCTTTCCCGCAGAGTCGCAGAAATTACAATCGGCATTCTCTGTGCTTGCTCCCCAGCTTTCAACATCTATTCCATCCAAGCTCAAGAAGAACGAATCGCCACAAGAGCCCGATACACAACTAATGTGGAGATAAGTAAGTTGGACACCTCGAGCAAAGGTTCAAAACTACCAACCGGGATAATGCACGAGAAATATATAGAGAATGGATCCTCGGAGAATGTGTCAACGTGGTAAGGAGGGCCGTTGCAGAAAGGGACGCAGAATCAATGGCCGAGGACAAGATCCAAAGATACAGCTGTCATGGTGATTAATTGAGATTCCAAATTCAAATATTTCTCGTTCCAGATATCAAAATATCAGTCACCTTTGACAAATTTCCAGCCACTCTCAGCCTTACTCAAGTTAACATAGATCTGCCTGGCCTCCTTGTCAGCTCCTTCATTCCTCCTTCCCCCTTCCAGAATATTTGGGGTAGTTCCGCTTCAACACCACAAAAGACCAACGGCAGAGCAGAAGATTTGAAACAATGACTTCCAATAAGTAATGCATACTTAGATGTCGTCTCCATAGCCTTCCCCACGAAAAACATCAGCGTAAACGCAAACAAGGCAGCGGGAAATGTCAACCACCCCAACGAACATGCACACAAGTCTCTGACTGCTGCACCTTCCCAGCAGCAGCAAAAGAACTGTTGATAGGTTGGCCATTCTGCCCGATATGATTCGTCATCGAGTTTGAGATGTTCTCAGTGTGTCAAATAATTTAATTAATTATAATTATTAGCCGGTAATCAAATTAAATTAAGTCAGAATCGTAGTAATTAAATTATAATTAATTATTTACTTAATTTAATTAAATATAATTAATTATTTAGTCACGTGGTATTACACGTGACTGCGGAAATAGCAAAAGGGCTATGGCGTGAAAATAAGGTTTGCTCTAGCCTAATTTGGATGCCACCTTACCGCAATAGGCTTAGCAGCGGCTATACCCGCTTGGTAAGCGAGCCGGAAGGCGCTAGAACCACCTCGACTTTTTAGTGATTCTTCGGTACCTTATAAATAATATAATTACAAATAAAGTAATTATAAATAAGGGATCTTAAAAATTAGTGGTTTGAAATCAGGCGAGTATTTCTAATTAGACGCTTATTAAAGAATCTTCTAGATTTTTAGATATTTTATATATAAATAACTAATTCTCCTCGATTTTCTAGTAATTCCTTTACTTCAAAACTATATATCACATTAACTACTTATCCTATTAAAAAGATTTCTACTATAAAGTTACTCGAAACTACTATATCTATCTGGAAATATTGTCTATTAAGCTTAATATCCTTTAAAACAGAGAGGATTTTGAACTAGAACTACTTAAATAATAACCTCCTATCTTTTCCCTCGAATATTATTCGAAAACTCTTAACCCTCCTAAAGAGAACCCGGAGGATCCAATTAACTATCGAACAGTTACTATTAAGTGCTTATTTAAGAACTATAAGTAAGTTATATCTATTAGAATTAAAGGAATTAAAGCTAATATAATATTAGTAAAGTATTTCGAAAATAAAGAGTTAATATTACTATAAGTAATTATAAAACCTATTATCTTAATATACATAAATCGGTTAATATTAATAAAGCTTTAAAAGCTAAAGCTCCTATAAGTAAGTTTAAATTATAATTAAAACTTAAAGAAATAATAAACTAACTTTTTATTTTAGATACTATTATAGAAAATATAGCCAAATCAAGTCAAATGTTTATTACAAGTTCCTTTAATAAAGGTTCTAGTAATACGGACTTAGAATCCTTTACTATAACTCACTTTAAGAGGTTATTATTAGACTTTATAATTAATAATAATATTTCTTTTTGTATAGTTACTACTCCAAGCTTTTAAAAGCTTCTTAATTACTTGAACTAGTAAGTTATTAAAAAATTATCTTATATATTATTAAACTAACTTCTTTATAGTAAAGTACCGCCTTTATATTCTCAAGTTCTTATAGACGAACTTACTTTAAGGTTTAATGAAAATAGTAATCTTATTAAAAAAGAATTATTAGAAAATATCTTATTAAATAGTGCTTTCTCTATTACTTTAGACGCCTAGATAGCTATAAATTAAAAGGCTTATTTAGAAATTACTATATAAGTTATTCTTATTAACTTATTAATATAATATTTACTAATTTAATTTCTAGTTATTTTATAAATAAAGATTTTAAATTAAAATCTTATTTATTAGCTATAAAAGATTTAAAGGATATTTATAGCGGTAAATATATGAATTCGGTCTTACTAGAAGCTTTAAAAGTATATAATATCGAGTATAATATTATTAGGTAAGTAATATAACTCTTATTATTTAAAGAAAAACTACTAATATATTTAATTTAGTATTACTCGAGATAATACTAGCTTAAATAATACCTTATTATAAGCTTTTATAAAGTATTATAATAAGAAAGGTATTAAATTTCAAGGAAATATTTCTTATATAACTTATATATTAAACCTAGTAATTTAAGATATCTTAAAAGCTCTTATTAAGAATAATTATAATATCTCTTATTCTATAGATTTATATGAGCTAGAAAAAGATAAAATTAAAGAAAGAGAAGAGGGAGAAAAAGTAGAATAAGTAATAAGTAAGTTTCTCATATTATTTATAAGAGATTTACTAATAAATTATAGATTTATTAATTTAGAGAAAGGTTAGAAAGACTATTATAGGTCTTAAATATAATCAGGAAAACCGACGGCTATTAGAAGCTCAGATTAAAGCTTTTAATATAGAAAATGCTCGATTTCCTTAACTTGGTAAGTAATTAATTAATCCTTTAATTATTAATTAATACTAATTACTTATAGATCAAAAAACACGATAGTTATTAACTTATTATATATTAAAAGACTTTCTTTATATATATAAAGCTATTAAAGCAGTTATTAATAGCTCGAAATCAAAGGCTTTTAAAAATAAAAGTTTAGTATTAACTAATATTAAAATTACTTATTTAAATAATATTTTAAATATAATTTCAATATTTATTAAGGCTACTACTAAGTTATAAGCCGAGAACTATCCTACTATATATTATATTATACCTGAAGTATATAAAATATATAATAAACTCGAGAGTTTTAAAACCGAATTTAAAGTAAGTCTTTTCTAAACTATATTATATTAATAGTATACTAATTATAAATAGAATAAAACTTTCGAAAACGCTATTAATAAGGGTATAGCTAAGCTTCGCAAATATTATCCTAAAATCGGTATTTTAGATAATAAGAGTAAAGCTTTATATTTAGCTCTTATTCTTAATCCTCGAATTAAAAAAATAGGACTAGCTAGAATTAGCCTAGATTCTAGTATAGTATCTGATATATATAATAGGCTTAAAATAGACTATAATATATAAGTATATATTTCTACTTAAATTTTAAATTATTTAATTACTAATTCTCTTATAGATATAAACGAGACTATTTAATAGCTAATCCTCAAGACACTAATTCCGATATATCTATAGACAATTTAGACAAAGATAAACTTGATATTTATATAAATAATCAAGAGGATAAAATAGAAGACGAATTAATGACTTATTTAGAGGAGAAGAGAGCAGATAAAAAAGTAAGTAATATTTACTTACTTTATTTCAAATTCCCTTAAGAACTACTAATCCCTTTATTATAATTTTTTTATCTATATATATTAATTTAGCTCTAGATTCGGCCACTTGATTACTGGAAAGCTAATCAAATTAGGTTTCCTGTATTATCCCTTATAGCAAGGAAGTACTTAGGAATACCCGCTTCGTCCGCCGCTAGCGAGCGTTTCTTCTCACAAGGGGCTCTTATTAATACTAAACTACGTAATCGACTTAATAAGATCACTTTCGAGAAGATTATATGTCTTAAGAGCTAGGGGATATTTATAAACGAGGAAGAAGAGATAAAAAAGGCAGAAAAAGAACAGGAATTAAAGGAGAAAAAGAATTTCGAGCCAGAGAATCAGTTTTTCCTTCCCGAAAAAGCTTAGTTTTATAGTTTTATATATATTTTATTAGTCTAGTTAATATTTTATCCGATGGCCTTATAGTTATTTAGAGAAAATAAAGAGATTTTATTATTTACTTGACTTTCATATGACTTTCACGTAATAATTAGAAATAATTAATTATATTTAATTATAATTAGTCTAATAATTAATTTTTTTTTTGAAACTCAATAATCAAATTATAATTAATTAGAAAATTAATTTAATTAAATATAATTAATTACCTTAATTATTTTTTTGACACACTGGATGTTCTTGAACTTGCTTCAATTGTCGTGTTGCCGAGATTTCCACCTAGCGGAAATGAATCCCTGTTCCCCCGAGAGCCTCTGGCGCCACGCCTGCATGGTCTTGAAATAGACTTTCAAGGTAGAAGTCGATGTTAAGAATGTGGTTGTGTCACTTTGGTTTTTGCAGGCTGAGTTCATGGGCAGGACGGGGTGCGATTTCTGACCCAATTCCACCACCAGTTCCTAAGTATTCAGGCCGGCAGTGTAAATTGCTTTGTATGGCAGCCATTTAGTGGTATCATTCAATTGATACTCAACATCTTAAAACCCCTTCCTTTCCGAGTCGGTCAAGCATGAAATATCGATCGTTGACACATATTCACTCGTGAAGTTCGAGTTGTCCAGATTCCAGCTGCCCGCCGCCGAATACATTTCGAGTTCCAAAAGCTTCCCGTTTTCAGTCATATGTTTTGATGCAAAGGTCAAGAGAACATGGTGAGGCACCATAACCTCGACATCCCCAGGAAATGTCTGATGCACAATCAAACCTGCCGGGATCAGGTCCATCGCTGTTACCAAGCAGTATTTGGATGACGCCTCCGCCTTGTGGGCGCATGGTGAATTGCTGCGCGCCCATGAGAGAAGTTAAAGAGTCCGGAAAGAAAAGTGAAATTGGGGACACCCCGGAGGTCAGAATTGGTGGAATTCGTAGGGTTTCCTTCTGGGGAGAACTGTAATGTTGGATTTGTTGTCGTGACGACCAACACTGATAAGATGTCACTACATGAGTGGTAGTACCCTACAGAGACAAAGTGACGGGAATACAGGGTATGCGCGCAAGTTCCTCACCCTCCACCACCGGGTCCGGTTGACTACAGTGCACAGATGCTATAATAAAAGCTTTTATAGGGATCTTTAGCGAAGTTACCCTTGTAAGTACAGGGGACAGATCTTGAAATGTGTAGTAGCTCTTATAAAAGTCTTACTGCCTTAGATTAGGGGGTAAGACCTAGAGTTATGGGGGCTTATAACAGGTGTAATCCTTTAAATCACATGTGTTAGGACTTTGGAAGCCCTGAACCTGCTCGTATGCCCTATATTCCTGTCAATTTATGCCGTTATCTGCGCAAGCTTCTGATTGACTGAGGAAAGGTGCAGTTTCGAGTGCGGCAGGTAAACGGCATGACAATTGTGCTAGATTTGAACAATCCCGCATTGACAGCGGGTTTCAAACCAAAATTGGCGTTATTTAGATTCGCCCCGATGTGGGTGCCATTCTTTATGTAAAGATTTGCCCTGGGAATGTAGGCCTGCGAGACAACGGAGAACTGATTACAGGAAGAATATCGGATGACTTGCTGGGCGAAGGAGCGTGTGCAATAGAGGGCTTGAGGGAAGCTTCGTTGAATCGACGGATCTGAAGAGTTTATATCCACTTACCTAAAGTAGAAGAAGAAAATGTGAAAGAATCTTCTAAGACTAGAAGCACATGACTGATAATATGTCCTAGTAGCCAACACAAAGAAGCAACTGAATGACCTTTCTATTTGGGATGTGCAAACATCGACAGGTAGAAAAGTATTAAAAGGTATTGTCACTTTGTAGATTGGGTAAACGGGCTTCTTTGAAGCTGTCATGAAAAGAAACGCTTACATGAAAGGTTTTGAGAGAATCCAAAGATCTTCTCGTGAGAAGCAACGATAGGGAGGCTCGTAAAGCTTTAAAGTCCGACGCCTAATGGCCCAACGCGTCGACACCCGGCCACTGCAACCCCCCCTGCCCGCCCACTCACATCTCCCTGCAACATTGCTTTAATCTGGGGTCTCCAGATTACCTGAAGTATTGAGGTTTTCTGGACTCTCATTTCCCTCAACCATCTCACTTTCTCCTTCGGGCTCACTTCCCCTCACTTCCATAAGGCACGTCGCAACGAGATGTCCCTTCCAACCTCTCGTAGCCAGCGCGTCCAGTGTTTTGTTAATCTCTGAGTCCCACTTCTTACTCCGCTCCTCCATATCCTCCTCCGCCCAAGACTCCGTACGACCCTCTTGCTCCTCCTGCGCAAACTCTTCGAAGCTTGTTCCGGCATCTGAAAAGGTTGTTCTCAACGAACAGACCCACAGCGCGGCATGGTCAGCAAAAAAGGTACAAGAACTAGCTGACCCTGCTTCCCAGTGGACTCCCAGATCCAGGGCGCTGAGTTCATGATCTGCAAGATTCGAACTCTTTAGGGTTTCGGTAATATCAAACTCTCGATCGTCATACATCCGCACGATTTCGTGTGCCATGTGAAAGAATTTGTGCTCTGTGCTAAGTGGGAGGCGCATGACGCATATGGTCGAGGCTTCGGAGTAGTCATGATCGCTTTTGCATAGCAGCGGAGTGTCGCCCTCAGCTTTTTCGCTGTCTTTACTGCAAATAAAATTCAGTTCAACCGGAACTGCGATGCCAAAAAAGCGAGAGAAGCTATGTTCTTTGTTGGATTTAGACAACTTGGCGGGCAGCCAGGAACCCTTCGAAGAGGAAGTTGCATTTGCCATTTCGATCAAATAAGCGTATGTGTAGAGTGTTTGGTGTAGAGTGTTTGTTATGTGTCAGATTCGAATTGAGCTTGAAAGTTTGGAATTTGCGGATGTTGATGAAGGAAGATCAAGTCGAGGTTTTGGGGTAGAAGAGGGGTTTCTATATTCCCAAAGCCCGAGTTGTATTCACGAGCCACACTTAGGAATATCAGATGTGATTCAGAATGCCCGCAATGACCTGGATTCCAACACACTTGGGATTGATGGAAGGAACGAATTTGTGAATCACCCCAAGGCTCGTGGAACGGTGAGAACCACACAAACCTATCCCAAGACTTCGAACACTGAATCATCATCTACTCAATAATCACACTCGTCTACCGTAACATCCAGATAGCACTGCAACAAATTTAGGATACTGCGACCTCTGTATTCATTTCTTCGACCCAATTAATCCCGTAATCTCTCATCCAAGTGCAAGACCACCGAGTCTCCCAGTTGAATCCCTAAGTCCGAAATATTCAATACCCTCAATCAACACCAATCTTAAGCCTTCTCTTCACACTCCACGTACAAATAGTTCTTCCAACCACTCAAAGCCACCGAGGTCCAGATAGCGCCCAAATCTGCCATATCATTCAGGGGAGTCCGTGCAGATCCTTGCCTCATAACAGGAACAGTATCCTGCCACTGCACGACGGCCGAAGCAATGGTCCAACGGGTGTGATTGTAGCTGTAGCCGTAGTTACTTGTTTTGTTTGCCTCGGTGTGGTGGAAATCGAGTTGCTTGGTGATGATGCCAAGAAATTATTGGCAGTGGCGGAAATTGACTTGGGGGACGTCGGGGAGCGGAGTAGCTTGGAACCACATAGTTAAGGCTGAGGCAGGGGCAGCAGGTCGGCGGATGGAGCTGACCAGGCCGAGCCAGGCATGTTGAAAACTTCGGTATCGTTCTCTTTACAGTATTGCGAGTAGATGGAAGGTAGTCGATGACCGAAGCTGAAGCCGAAGAGATGGAATGGCGTGGAAGCTTTGGGAATGCTTGATCAATATCGAGGAGTTATTGGAAGACTTCATGCACCGTTTTCCAAAAGAGAAGATCCGGAAGCCCGTGCCTGCTCAAGCTTGGCCAATGATTCCTCTTCATGCAGCTGAACCCTTTCTCCCGAGGAAATCACTTTGTATTATGAACTCAGAATGGTGGTGACAAATTCCAAATTGCAGGAGACAATACAGATATTGTTGACCAATCTTTGCTTCAATAGTTCTGACATGCGATCCAAAGATCTTTGCTCTCGATTCTCAAACTCTCCGACTCCTTCATCACGGAACCCAACACCAGCTCTTACGCCACCCAACACCAGCTCTTACGCCAACCAACTCTTCCCATTCCACATCAAGCATCAAGCCTTCTCAAATAACACTTCGCAACCACATGGCCCTTCCACTCCCTCACTTCCAAAAGCTCCAACGCCCTCATCAAATCCTGGTCACTCACCAACCTGGTGTCCGGCACCCCCTGAAGCTCCCAGCTAATCGCAAATGCCCAACCCACCCTTCCCACATCCCACCAGAGCCCGTCATCCCTTATACGATCCACCGAGTACGCGTCGAGTTGAAGCAAGTTCGTAATGCTCTCTGTCATGCTCGCGAGGATAGAGTTAATGCCGATGTTGATGATGCCTGTGCTGTTCGGACGCTTCGAATAATCGGTAGGTCGAAAGTATCGGAAGTGTTTGATGATGCAGATGTGGATGAGGATCGGGACGAAGGAGACGTCGCGGGGAAACATCTGAATTGCCATTTTTGAGGATTGGAAGATGAACTGCGCATGAGAGCATCCAACAACGTAGGACCGGGAGCCGAGCAATATATACCAACTAATCTAAGATCAAATTTTCCAGCTTAGGCTAGAATAACAAAGTAAGACTCTGCTCAAAGGTTCTCGAACTGGGCAGTACAATGAAGAACGAACTTAAACGTGAATTTTCTGGGCGTTTCCATTACCTTGGCTGAAAGGCTTCAAAATTTCCAGTAAATGGTACACCAGGACAACGACCCCAATGGACCGAGATTTTTTTGAAGTTTTGATGATGTATGTGGAAGGAGCACCGCCCTGCAGTTGAAACGATAGCAACCACCATTCCTACCGGCACGAACTGGGAGAAGACAATCAGCATATGAGAGGATAAGTTAGAAGCAGAAGAGCAGGACGAAACAAAATCGGAGGAGGCAATCAGAATCTTGGTGGAAAAGGCATTGCAGCAAATGAAGGATGTATTGGATGCAAATAGGCATGTCCAGGGTTGGCTAAGCAGGTAGGAGCTCTCCTTATTATTCAGAAATAAGAAGGGGCCATAAAAGGGCAATAAAGGGAACCTCTTTTTTTTATAAAAAAAAATAGAACAACCCCGCCCCCGGAATCCAATCAAGTTTAATTGTCGGGAGAGTTGAGTTGCCATCGATTGAGGGCCCAATGGCCTCGATTCTGGGTAAGTCCAGTTGACTTTGATCCGATATTTGGAAGCTTGTCTCGCTCTGAACTTTAACATTAAAACCTCCTTTCGCCTGATAGTTAGAAGTGGAACAACAACACAACAAGTCACCGTATGTCTATCACCTCAAGAGCGCCAGTTTCGCTCTGATTTTGGCAACTTGCTTTAGTCTAAAAGTTCGTTGTCCTTGTATAAACGATCAGAGCGAACCAAGCTTTGAATTTATGGCTCTACCTACTGAGTGACTGGCAACTGTGCCATCTGCCATGGTCCTTTCATCAATCCCGTGCTCAACAGAGCAAACCAGGCCTATTGCAAAGATTGTCTTCTTCCCTATCGTCCTACGAAACCCTCAGATCCTCGATCTCATCGGCCCAGATGGACGGATGTCCAATGCAAGGCTCTCACCCATTCTCTACATTTGCTCCGAGTGTAAGTTGTTTTGGCCACTTGAACAGTGCCGATCGACTCCAAGAGATGGCTACGAAGATGGAAATGGCATGGTTTATTTTGAGGCTTTCAAGGAAAATCACATCGCATTTTGGACCCTTATTCTCTACAAAAAGCTGCTTGTCATCTAAAGATAAGGGAGGAAGATGGAAACGAAGTAAGCAGCAAGATCAGAGCGAAGCAGGCTCGACTTTGTAACTTGAGATGACGCTTAATCAAACGGATTTTCTCATCTGAAGACAGAAAGATAAAGCTGGGAACGAAGCAAGCAAGATCGGATAATATTCCTCCTCCCTCTTATGGCAACGCCCATGTCTGAGCCGGCGCCGTCATATCTTCCCTAAACTCATCTCCTCTTACCTTTGTTTCCATTTTTATCTGCTCAAGGACCGCGGCAGACAAACTTCCTTTAGCACATGATTCCCATATTCACTCCTACTTGTCACGAGCATTGCTACTAGCGTCATATCTGTCTGGCACAAACAAGCCTCTTTTCGCACATGAAATCCTTATTCACTCCTACTTATAACCAGCTTCGTCACTAGCGTGATAACCATCGTCGTTGTCACTCGTCTATAAAACAAAAAAAAAATCCTCGCTCGCTTCAAAACCATCCCTTCGACACATCTTTGCTGATACTGTGCCTGCCTGCTCCTTTTGTCACAATGTACTCCAGACGCGGTCGCCCTTCGAAGGCAGAGCGAGACCGTATGCTCCAGCTAGCTGGCCATGGACCCAGCAGCACAAGCACTAGCACCGGCCCCAACCCCAGTCCATTCACCCCGCAAGCTCCGGTACAACCACCTCAAGCTGGTCCTTCATTATCCCGGCTGAGCTCAGTACAACTAAATCCGAATCCATTATCCCAACAGGCTATGGTACAAACTCCACCTCCACCTCAAGCCCCAATCTCCCAACCCCAAGCAGTACAACCAAATCCACACAGCTTGTTCTACGTAGCAACACAGCACCGGCTCCAGGCCTCCACCAGGGGTTCGGACCTCCTTTTTGGCACGGGAATCGTGAGCATCGCGCCTACCGCCTCCGGTGACGTTCTCTTCTCGACCCTGGTTGCGATTTTGAATACTCAAGCTCATGACACCGCGCGTGACGCAAGTCCCCCCCCCCCTCTTTTGATTCTCCCACCAACATCTTGAACATTCAAACCTAGCCTTTCTTCATTCTCCTTGCCCATCCTAGAACAATGGCTAACAGCTGTCAGACCTTCGGCATCGCATCCCTAATGACCGCCTACACAACCGCCTGCACACCCCTCGGCACCTCACCCCGCCGCCTCAACTTCCTCCGCCTCGCACTCCGGTACGCCGAGTACCTGGCGTTGAACGACAAGGATGCAGAGGCGTTCGATACGAAGATTCGGGATACGGAGGAGCTGACGCTGGCGATGCGGTTGATGAGCAGGAGGGGTTGGAGGGATGTGTTGGTTGCGTATTGGGAGTTGAGTGAGGTTGGGGAGGTAGAGGGTGAGGGTGGCGAGGGCTTGCAGGGGGAGGGAATTGGGAAGGGGAAGAAGAGAGGTGGTGAGGAGGGGGAGGGAGAGAGGAAGAGGGTCAGGGGTGAATGAGTGAGTGTGACAAGACTGCATGGTGCTTGCTGTACATTGGGAAGATTCGCTTTTGCATACTTCTGGAAGTGCATGGAACAATTCGGCAAAGTTGGCGACATTGTTCTGCATGCTGGTGGTACAACGAAATAGAGCAGCATGGGCAGCAGAGAGAGCAGAACCAAAGCAAGCAACCAAAGCAATAAAGCAGATTGTAAATCACACTTCTGGGTCAATGAGAACCAGCCAAGATCAAGGCTTAATTTGCAATCTACCACAACTCCAGAAACAATGACTTTTTGTCTATCAAAAGACCACACTTTCAAGAAACCTCCCGAATCAACTTTCCCCCCATCCCAGCCTTCTGGCCACCAACGAAGATAGCTCCAACAGGCCCCTCGATCCACTCCTCCGGCACACCAATGCGGTTCCCATCTTTGTTGCTGACAAAACGAACGAAAAGAGGATTGGGTTTCTGGCCCTCGGAATCGGGTGTGGCATCTCCGGGTATGGCGTTGAAGTCTCGGCGACGAGCATTGGTTTTGGGGGCTTGCTTTTTGAGGAGCTTGTTGATCGTTTCCATCTGGTAGATGTTAGAAGTGACCGGGAGAGGGAATGGGAGAGTAGTACTTTTTCTTCTTCGTTTCGCTTCTCGGAAAGGTTCTTTCTTCGTCGGGCCATTTCTGCGCGACGCATAGCGTGTTCCTCGGCGGTCAAATGCTTCTTGACTTGGACTTCTGTTGGGCGGTTAGTACATATCATGGGAATAGGCCTTAAGACGTACCATCTGGGAGCGCCAACATTGGCCCACTGCCTCCTTCCTCAAATCGAGCTCGTTGTCTCTTGGTGAGTTTGTTGAGGTCTGGTGTTGAAGCTCGACTTCCACCAGCTGGTGTCTCATCATCGCTATCCAGACTGTCTTCGTCGTCTTCATCAACTTCCTCCTCAACCTCAATCTCCTCTTCCTCGCCCTCAGCATCTTCTTCATTGCCGGTTTGCATGCCTTCCTCCTCCTCTACCTCCTCACCAACATCACTATCCAATTCGCTCAATTCCTCGTCATCACTCGCCTCTTGCATCTCCTTTTGCTGGACAGCCATGCGGTCACCCCGAGTTGGCGGCTTGACTGCAATGGTTTGCCGTCCAGACTGGGCCCTGGAGATTTTGATGACAGGCGGCGGCGGTGGGACATCCATATCAACATCCCCATCCGCGTCTTCATCGCCCAATCCATCATCCTCAGCATCCATATCCTCGTCCTCTTCCTCAACGCTCTCACCCTCCGCATCATCATCCGCCACATCCTCCATCTCCTCATCTTCCTCCTCGTCACTATCAGACTCCAAGACATAGCTCTTTCTCACATTCCTCGCTCGCTTGCCCTCGATGATCTCACCGCCAACAAATGATTCCTTCACGGCGATTGAGTTGCTGGATGAGCTGGCACGGGTTGCCTCTCGGAGTTTGCTGGAAGATGTCTTTACTGTAAGACGCATTGACTGGGGGCTCCGTGACGAGGTGGTCGGAGGACCACGTGAAACGGTAGCCATGGAGACATTCTCAGATACCGTGCGCCGCGGTCGCGATGATGGCATTCTATCAGAAGCGGCATCAGTAATTGCTTCTGCAGCCTTGACCGCCGCGGAGCGCTGGCTGCGTCGCGATGACATGATGGATGATGAGGTGCAGCGATCAGAGAGTAGAACAGAACAGAACAGGTGGCGGCGCAGGTTCACGATCGCTTGATTGATTGCTTGCTTGTTTGCTTGCTTGCTTGATGGAAGAGGCGGGAGGACGTTGAAATAAAGAACGGGGGGAGATCCCGGGTGGGTGGTCTTGTTGGTGGTCTGGTCTCTGTGGTCCAACTGAGGCCTGATTGGCATTCAGGCAACTTCCTCGACCGGACCAGATCGGAGGCAGATGCAGCAGCCACAGACAGGGCAATTGAGCAAGCAATTGAGGAGGCCGCGTCGCATGGATGGAAATAGCCGCGCCAACACAAACGCCCCGTAAGATAATCAACCACACACGTGTTGCTGTTGCTGTTGCTGTTGCGATTACGATTGCGATTGCGATTGCTTTTGCTTTTGCTTCGTACAACGCCAGCTTGAAGCAATCGACGATCTTCCAGCCGCGCAGGATTCAGACAAGCGCCACCGCTCGCTCGTTTGCAGCCATACAACGGAAAATCACAGAAAATGTGATGCAACTCACTCCTTTTTGCTCGACGTGGCTTTCTCAGCCCGAGACTTGGGCTTCCCTCTCATTCCTGCCCAGCTGTAGCCCTCCTCGGTGCCCTCTGAGTCGGTACTCAGTCTTCGCACCTTCTTACTGGGTCGCTCGGTGCGGCTTGACATCTCTAAAGGTGATTGTGCGGCGGCTGACGCTTACCTGCAGCCTGTGAGGATGAAACGGAAGCTGTATAGTCAATATTGAGGTGAAGTGATGATGCAAATGCTGGGCGACTTGTGTCTATGTGATGTATGGAATTGGAGATCAAGGAGTGATAAGAAGTGAATCCAAAATGGGTGAAATGTGAAGGTACTTGGTACAGTGACTTGTCAGAGATGCTCTCAAACGTCGGTCAGCGGAAAATGGAGTCTCAAAGTTGATTGGCCGTGCTAGAGTTACGTAAGCAACCTCGGCATGTGAAGGTAATGCCGACAACAAACAAAACCACGAATGTGTCGGACCATCTCCTTTCAACATTGAGACTATTCGCCATGAGCGATTCAGACCAGGGAGAGAAGAAGGCAGGTGTGCCGTCGTGGCAGCTGAAATCGAAAGACGCAACAGCGAAAGAGGAAGAGAAATCATCTGCGGAATCAACGAGTCGCGAGACGATCATCGAGCAGGCAAAGAAGTTCCTGGAGGAGGACGAAGTACGCAATGCATCGACAGACAAGAAGATCGCATTTCTAGAGAGCAAAGGACTACGTGGCGAAGAAATCCAGGATCTGCTGGGCATCACAATGAACCCAGAAGCATCCTCCGAAGTAGCTCCTCCATTCCCCTCAAAACATCACCGTACTAAGCCTTCCAGACTCCACGACCACAACCTACCCAACAATCCCCGCCACCTCCACCTCCACCTCCACCTCCACAGCAACAAACCCCCTCCCAACCGCCAATAATAACCTACCCCGAATTCCTCACCACCCCCACCTCCCCTACACCCCTAATAACCAAAACCCGCCTCCTCACAACCCTCTACCTCTTCTCCGGGCTGTCCGCCCTGCTCTACGGCACAAACACCTTCCTGCTAACCCCGATGCTCGCCACACTCACCGATTCCCGACTATCATTCGCAGCAACCGCTTCTTCCAATCTCTCGAAGCTCATCACCCGCCTCGAAAGCATAGTCTCCGAGATCCCACCAACAATAGGGCCTGCACATGAACATAAAGAGGAGGACTCAGAAAGCGACGAAGATCCCACTGAGCTTTTTCATAGAGATATTGGTGTGCAGACTTCGCTCCCTAATTCAGAGGCTGGGACGAGACCGGGGACACCGACGCCTACATCTGCGCTTGCGGACCAGACGTCCCGGCTTAAATCCCTTACGGGATCTTTGAACGGGTTAATAGACGACGGTACATCTGAAGGCCATGATGTCGTGGAGTTAGAGGCTACGATCGGGGTGTTGAAAGACTATTTGGAGGGTATGACTTATGTGACTCCGAGTTATAATTTTGGTGGGTCGGGGGCCTATGGGGGAAGAGAGGGGGCAGGGGGTAAGGAGGCGGATGATGAGATAAGCAGGGTGAAGATGGGGATTAAGAGTATGAAGGGGGTGTTGCTTAGTGCGAGGAGCTTTCCGGGGGGTGTGAGGGGTGTGGGGAGGTGATAGATGGGATGATAGATACATAATGAAGTATTTTTGAATGAGGTCGGTAGTCCTGATATGTTGTGACGTGGCACTTTGAATGGCGTCAGAGACAAGTGCCTGTACAGACTTTGTGTTCGGCGTTGCGATCACGAAGGCAGTAATTCTATGATCAAGGTGACGGTGGCGTTGGGAGTGCTCATAACCAGCGGATGCTGGATCATTTTACTAAACAGCAATTCAAATTACGGCAGGAAAGTGGAATAGATTATAGTTGATTTTATATATCAGACCTTGCTCTTCCCATTTCCCTTCTCAATGTGCCTTCCAAACCCCTTCAAATCCTACACCCCACGGTCACACAACACAACTCAACCCGAAGCCATGAGAGGCCGTTTTCCCAATCGCCAACTTAGCCTGCACGAGTTCTTCGGCCGACAAGAAGACGACGACTTAGTCGAGATGCGTGCCCCTTACGACCGGCTGGATCGCAGACCTGTTTACGTTCCTAGGAACAACCCTAGGAACAACCCCAGGAACAGCGCCTTCGCCGCTTTCAATAAACCCATCCGCGACGAACAAGCGGAAGAGCAAAGACCTCCAACGATAATTGTCCGCTTCATACGCCAAGGGGGAACAAATCCATACCACTTCGACCTCCCCATCCACATCGCCTCGATTCCCACGAACCTCAATTCCATTCCTGACGAGATTCGGGATGCAGTAAAGGTCCACCATCCAAGCTGGCGTAGCGGGTTCTCCCTACAGAGTGTGGTGGTCAAATGGAAAGATATCTTTTCGGAAACGGACTTGATTAGGCTGAATCGTGCTCAGAGGGAGACGGCTTTCAAGAGGATGGAGGAGAATAAGTGGTTGGACATGGTTGAGATTAAGTACAAGAGAAACTGATGGCATTGCCGGTGGGGACCATGGGAAAGCCGTGTTGATTTTGAAAACTTACTTGTTTGCGATGTCTTCTGCCTGGACTTGCACAATGGCTTTGAATTACACATTCTATCACATATGCATTTGAGATAGCAACATACTACATTGCATATATTTATTGTTCAATGGTCCCCATTTGAATCTTGTGATCAACAAATGTTGCCGTGAGTTGGCACGCGGTTCTGACATATTGTGAGATGGCATCTTAATCGCCATTGCAGGTAAGTGCCTATAAATGTGTTTGGAATCATGAGCGCGAAACTGTAACAATATTTCGTCACTATGACGGCGGTGTCGTTCAATCATAGCCAGCAAGCCTTGGGTCATCGCTAAGCAGCAAACCGACTTTCCAAAGAAACTGAAATAGACGCCCCATGGCCCGTTTATACAGCCAAGCTCTCTAACGTTTTACTTCGCTATGTGTATCTTAGGAATTCCCATGGAGAGAGTTACTCCCAAGGGGTGGGTACGCAAACCGCGACGAGGCAGAAGGAACAAGCCAAAAGCAGAACCAAGTCGGCCGGAAGAAGGAAGATCATTCTTTGTTCGCTTCAAACCTCAGCAAGGCACCGCGCGGTCGGCAACCTGGACCGAGTACAGGGACGTCTCGGATATTCCCAAAAACACTGCTTCCGTCCCGAGCGAGATCCACCGCGAGCTCTGCAAGCGCAACCAGAAGCCGTGGGCTAGATGGATGCTGACGGCTATCTACGTCAATTTTGGTGGCGTCCAGCAAAGTACCATAGGTGGAGTGGCACAAATCGATCTTGATGGCGTGGGCGATGAGCGCAGGGACAGGGCTTTCCAGAAGATTGAGAGAGATGGGGGGAATAATCCTGTGTACGTTGAGTATCGGGAGATCTAAGAGAGGTTTGGGAATTGATAGTTGATTTCCGAATGGGAGTTGCGTTGTTTTTGAAATCTCTTTTGATTTCCTTACCTTCAGTACTTGACTTGAGCCAGTGATCGTGGATCTTATATCGTGCCGAACATATATTCAAGATCAGCAATTGCTGTTGTGATTCACCTCCCCTTTCTCGGGTTTCTTTCTTCCAGTCCTCACCAGATTTCCATTCTCGCGCTAGTGAATAATTCACAATGACAAGCATCATGGAGGATTTGAAAGGAATAAAACCCTTTGGTTTTCCTCTTCCTACCTCCTGAGATCTTTAACAATCAACATCCATCATCTTTAGCCTTCAAAACTTACACAATGATTTTATTTTGAGACGTGGTCGGCGATCTGCCGGAATATGAATTACCATATCTTTATTATAGTAGACATGAGTATGCAATCTAGCCCCTTCTAGTTCCAATCGATTGAACTCCGAGGCACGTTCCATTTCACCTCTGGTCAATTCGTTAAACTCCTCACGCCATGCATCGACACTTACCACACGCAAACAACAGTCGTTTCTTCAAGCCGTCGATGGAAAGTGGATATGATGGGTGTGATGTAGCAGAGGCTTTCATCTGAGGAGTCACTTTCTCCAGCTGATAGAGCTTTGATGCCGCCACCAGCGACATCCTTGAGCACGCGCAGCCAGCGCATGTTATGCGTCGCGTTCTGGAGTTGATGGCTCAGAGGGGTTGGATGGATTACATTGCTGTAGAGTATGAGGAGGACATGGACTAAGATGTATCTCGTTGCACCATCAACTGGGTTTGGAGATCTTAAGTCGTATGCTTCTCCGTTCACCTTCGTGCCTTCTCGGAAGAAGAATGTTGTTACGATCCGTTTGAAGGATGGCGCTGATGCTTAATGTGGAGATGAAATGGGATAGTGTGCTTTGTTCCTAAGTGCTTACTAAACTGTGAATGTTTTGGTTGGCAGAGGGACACTTGAACAGACAGTAATGTATTAGTCGGCCACTGGAGATGGGTTTCCGTGATTTTTACTATTGTCCCACGAGCTTTTGAGTGATTCACAGCTCCTTACCTTTCCGAGCTGTTCAGGAAATAGAGATCTTTGGTTTTTGACATTGGTCCGCAAGTTTTTGGGTGATTCACAATCCATTCTTCCTCGAGTTACTGACTCGAGAACAAGATTGGCTTGTATCTTGCATGCACCGAATCACATGTGCAAGTGTCGAGTGTCTTTACTCAATGCAGATTAGACTCAGAAACTTTATATAAACCCGTCTTCTTTTCCCCGATGCTCTCCAGGATCTTCTTTCATCAATATCTGCATTCTCTAACTTTGGAATCTCAACTTAGTTCGGAGATATAACGAACCTTTAACACACACACTTGGTCGACATGTCAAACAAACATTCCAACACAAAGCCTTCTTGGGCTTCCAAACTCACCAAGGATCGTTCCTGTCAGTATGGTGGAAAGTTCCAGTTCAGTTCATACTTGATTGCGAAACAGAGCAGCTCGCCAGGGCTTATGCGTCACTAGACTGGGATGCCCCTTTACCGGACCAAATCCGTGAACAAAACGAGGCCCCTTACGGGGCTGTGCCAATGGGATGCCAAAGAAGCCATGGTAGGGATATTGCCACAACTACATGCCTCATGCGCCTTCCACCGCCCCGCACCTTGGACCAACTTCCTTTAATGGAACGCGAACTTATCCGCATCTTCAACGACCGAGAATCCGACTTGGATCGAGTTGTCCACCTTTCAGGGTTTGCAGATCATAAGCTGGTTGGCTTGAGTCTAGGAGTGGTGTGGCACATCCCGGGCTTGCCTCCCACTTCCTTTCGTGGAGGTCATGTTGTAGATGTGGAGTCTCTTGGCCAGGACGACGAAGAGGCTCCTGGCCTCTTGGGTCGACTCCTTGGGGGTGGACGTAAAGCTGCTAACACTATGAAGTCTGGCGAGCTCAATGGGGACCGTGAGAGCAAAGCCGCGGAAGGTGGTGAGCTAGATGAACTCCTCCAGCAGGAGCTGAAATGGCGTTTGGAAGTTGAAAAAGCTTTGGATGCTTTGTCTGATAGGGATTGGCAAGGGCATCTAGTTGCGGTATGCTCTATGGAGGGAATACCAAGGAAATTAGATACAACGCCAGAGGGAAGTGACATTGCAGAGGGAAGTGACATTGCGGAGGGAAGTGATATTGCGGAGGGAGACAATATTTCAGAGGAATGTGAGGCTACAGAGGGACACAAGACTGAGGGAGGATTCGGGATTCCGGACTGAAACAACGTTGAAGTGATCTGTAGGGCGGCCGGGGGAGGCATGGCTGCAGAGGGATCAAGGGGTTTGTCATGGCAGGCTACCATCTGATGCATTTCACGTTGAGTTAGCAGATGCTCTGGAAACTTAATATTGATCGTTGCTTTCTTAGAGATACTTGATGGCTGGAAGATTTTTGAAATTCGTTGATCTGCCTGGTAGATGCACAGAGGATCTGGAAGCTTCCCAATGAGATCTTTGTTATACAAGAAAACACCAGAAGAGGAATCTCAGAACCGGTAGTTCACAGTCTTTGAGAGACTCATGCTGGAAAAGTACCTGGTGCCTTCGGGTGGAGAAGCTCAAGTGACTTCAAGGTTTCCCGGAATGCTTGAGGCTCTTGTCTTTTCAGTAAGCTATCTTATATCTGGAGTCGTTTTCCCACAGCTCAACAATTTAGCTCATTGTTCACTTTTCTCACAAGCCCAAATCTAAGAAAACCCCGTCTCTTACACACTTGACATGAATTCATCTTATTTTTCCCAGACTCAACCACCACTACTGAATTTTCTCCGCCATAGGGAGGCCTACAGTCTTCCACCGGCAGCACCTCCGCAATCTCCAAAGTACTACGCCCTCGTACATCTCTGCTTCACTGTTGAGAAATACAAGCGCAGTAACCCCAGTGTCACAGTCCCGCTGCCCACCAGAGAACAAAGCACGTACATGGCCTTGAAGAGCGAATTGACAAAATGTACAAGGAAGATCGATTCTGGTTCCAGAACAAGATTCAAGACTTTGAGACTAATGCTCGCGGCCAAGTCGATAAACCTTCCGCGCCTCAAACGGACAGGTCATTAGGGCCGCCCTGATACATGTTTGGTGAATGATCAGGATCTTCAGGGAGTTCTCGTATTAGTGAAGACCATACGCTAGAAGGATCATTTAGTTATCAAGTATAATGTAGTAAAGAATGAAAATAGAAAGCAATGAAGCGGAGGGGAAAACGAGAGTGGCCAGATGACAGCGGTTTGGAACCTCATCGAGGGCTATGAACGGTTGAGTCGATTTTTTTATGGTAGGAGGCCAACTTAGTGGGTTTGTGATTTCTTGTAAATTTTTAATGCTGTCAAAATTTATCTTTGCAGCGCTCTCTTGAAAATGACATGATTGTTAAAGCTGAATCAGGTGGTCAACGCTGCATTGGAGATGGATTTGAGCCAGCCCAGGCAGAGAAAAGTCAGAGGATCATTCCAAGGAAGCACAAGACAAAATTAGATGTGAACACACAATCAAATTGGCCTAATTGATCCCCCTCCCCAAAACCCCGTCTGGAGCAAATATTGGAACCACTTTTATGTCCTGGGAAATGGGCACACCAATTTCGAGACCGAGTAATTGCCCTTTACGGTGAAGTTTAAGGAGGAAGACTCCCGTTCTTTTGATTAGAGTCGAATTTCTGACTGCAACGGCGGAATGATCTACAGCAATATTCTAATTTCAATTCGAAAGGTCTCGTAATTTGGAGGCCAAGAGCAGAAGGCAGCTTTGTCATATTGTCATTCTCTTTTGAAGAATTTTGGTGTATTGTAAGTATGAAGTAATTGTAAGAATGTTTCTCGAACCCACTTCAGGTTTAACATCAACTTCTTTGAATGTACTGAGGCCCACAGCTAGCTAGCGGACAAATCCGAGAAGCGAAAAGTGATTTTCTGATTTTCTGATTTTCGCACTGGCGCCCCGCACCCCCCTCCCCAAGGCAGAATTCCTAATTAGGGGTATAGCACCCACACGTGACTTTCGGCTTGGATAATGCAATAATAGTAAGGCTGCTTGCTTGTCTAATTAACGAAGTGAGAGCCCATACCACCGTATAAAATTATGCCAAAATTAGGCCGGATAATATAATATAAAATTAAGTATTTATTATAAATTACTATAATTAGGTAACTATAGGCTATAAGCCCTTCTAGAATAATGCTATTAATAGGGTCTAATAATTTCCTTAATATTTCCAAGATTAGAAATAAGAAAATTAAACTATTAAAATAACTAAAAAGCTAGCTAATTACTTTTTTTTTAGTAATTAATTAATAAAATTATATAGAAATAATATTACTCGAGTAATTTAGTACTTATATTACTAAAAAATATATTATAATAGTAAAGTATATCCTGAACTTAATTCCTATTAAATAACTTAATAGATTTTATTAAAATAATACTATAATTTTTAATAAATCTATTACTATATTATAAAACTATTACTAAATAGGTTTATATAAATATTAATTAAAAAGAAATTATAAATAGATTAAAAGATTTATATAGAATTTTAGTTAATCTATATATAGTTTAATAGTAATTATAAGAATAGAATATCTAAATATATATTTAAATAATAGATATATCTTTCCTTTATATATAGATTATAATCTTATATTATCTGGAAAATATAAATAAGGAAATACTTAAGAATCTTAAGAATTATAGCTATATAGCTTTAATTACTAGAGTTATTTATATATATAAAAAGCTTAGTCTTATTTATTATATAACTATAATAAATAAGTAAGTAGTAAACGAATAATTATTTATAATACTATAGAATAAGCTAAATAATAGGCGGGTTATAAGTTATAAATAGTAGTATTTATATATATATTTCTATTAATAAAGTTTACTAGTAACCCGATTAGTTTTTTTATATTTTACTATTTTGCTTTAGTTTAGAAAATTAGAGCCTTATTTACTAATATATTTTATTATTTATAGAAAGAGCTTATATATAATATTATAATTTCTGAATTCCAAAGTAATTATACTATAAATATAATAAATATAATCTAAAAAGAAAGAATATATTATATTTAAACCGGACTAGATTTAATTAATTAATAAATATAATAAGTTATTACTATTTGGGATTAAAATATATACTTATATTAATACTTATTTATATAATATTATCTAAATATATATTAGAATCTCTAATTAGATTATTTATTTAATTATATAATAGTATTTTTAGATTTATATTTAAATAGGCTATTACTCTTATTTCTTTAGGCCTAATTAAAGCTTTAAATTTCTCCTTATTACTAAAATATACTTTATATTCTTATAAATAGCTAATCTATTAGTTATATATATAAAAAACTATTTTATTTCTGGGAAAAGTACTAAGAATTAGTAAGTTAAATCCTAATAATAGAAGCTTTAGAAGAACTAGTTATACTAGTAGTATATAAGTAATTCTATTTTCCTATATTTGTCTTTTATTCTTTCTATTATTAGAAAGAAATATTAGATATTAATAATTATACTACTTTTTATTAAGGCTATTAGATCTAGTATTATAATACCGGATTATATAACTAATTCCAATTAGTATATATAGAACTACTTTTAGGAACTAGTCTATATTAGAAGTTATAATTACTAATATTTATAGAACTAGATTACTTTATTAGTACTTTATATATAATAGATCTAAAATAAGATATATAAGTTTATAGATTTATAAAATATCTATAAGATTAGAAAAAACAGATTTAGGCCTAATATAATAGCTAGTAAGCTATTTAAATTATATATAAAGCCTTTAAGCAAAATATAGTACTAGAGTTATTTTATAAATATAAAGCTTTATAATATAATTCTTAATAATTATTTAATTTAGGATAAGTAATATAATTTTATATAATTCTATATAAATAGTTTATTTATATATTAATATAGATATTAATAAATTTCTACTAAAAAAATACTAGAATAGTATTATTAGAAGCTTATATCTTATAATATAAATATAGAAAATACTAATAGAAATAGTAATTAACTATATATTTAAGCTTACTACTAGCTCTAATATATAGTTCAAATATTTATAGCCTTAGGGCAGCTATTAATATTAGGAGAGTCCGAAAAGCTAACTAGTAAATATAATACTATTATTATATAAAATAGAATTCTTAAATAAGTTATTCTAATAAATATAAAATATATAAATAATATATAAATTAGAAGAATATTTATATAATTTCTAATAATTTAGGATTTTATCTAGAAATAGCTCTTTATTAGTAATACTTCTAATAATATAAAATAGTTAAATAAGCTAGTTATAAAATAACTAGATATATTAAAATAAATATTATTTATTATTAAATATATTATTTTCGAAATCCTCTTTTTATTTTTAAGAGTAATACTAATAGAATTATTAAGTTTATCTATTATATAAATATTTTATATTCTTAAATTCTTATTTCTTAAAATAGTATTACTATTTCTTAAAACCTATTCTAATATTATATATTCTATAGCTAAATACTAGTATAGTAATATCTAATATTACAAATTCTATTAATTTACTAATAATAAATATAATATAGAAGCTACTATTTTATTTATTTAGAATAATAATATTAGTAAATTTAAATCTTATAATTCTAGAATTCTATCTATATCTGTTTTTTCTTTTATATTTAAGATATTTTAGATTTCTAGTTCTTTTTAGTATTTTTATTCTATATCTTTTTTTCTAAAAATATCTATTATATTTATTTTTCTAGTTATTATTATTATATAATTACTAGATATTAGTTCTATTTTATTTCAGACTTTTTCTATTCTAATAGCCTTATAACTATTTCCTTCTATATTTCCTTTTATTATAAGCTATATTATTTAATCTAACTACTTTTTTAATAATATTTATACTATTATATAAATTTAATAGGCTATAAATATAAGAGTTATTTAGGCTATTATTTAGGCTATAGCTTTTTATACTAGTAATAGGCTACCTAAAGTCTTTTAAGATCTTATAAATTAAAATATAGCCGGATCTAATCTTATAAAATTATAGACTATAGTTTTATAACTAGTTTTCTATAAATAAATATTTAATAATATAAAGAATTAGAAAGCTAAATAAAGAACTATTTAACTTTCTAAAGAAATTAGTAATAAGTTTTCTCTTATTTCTTTTACTAGATTCTTTATATAAATTCTAATAA